TAAGTGGTCTGTTGTTTTAGTTTTCTGTGCATGGGTAAGTGGTCTGTTGTTTTAGTTTTCTGTGTATGGGTAAGTGGTCTGTTGTTTTAGTTTTCTGTGTATGGGTAAGTGGTCTGTTGTTTGAGATTTCTGTGTATGGGTAAGTGGTCTGTTGTTTGAGATTTCTGTGTATGGGTAAGTGGTCTGTTGTTTTAGTTTTCTGTGTATGGGTAAGTGGTCTGTTGTTTGAGATTTCTGTGTATGGGTAAGTGGTCTGTTGTTTGAGATTTCTGTGTATGGGTAAGTGGTCTGTTGTTTTAGTTTTCTGTGTATGGGTAAGTGGTCTGTTGTTTGAGATTTCTGTGTATGGGTAAGTGGTCTGTTGTTTGAGATTTCTGTGTATGGGAAGTGGTCTGTTGTTTTAGTTTTCTGTGTATGGGTAAGTGGTCTGTTGTTTGAGATTTCTGTGTATGGGTAAGTGGTCTGTTGTTTGAGATTTCTGTGTATGGGTAAGTGGTCTGTTGTTTGAGTTTTCTGTGTATGGGTAAGTGGTCTGTTGTTTGAGATTTCTGTGTATGGGTAAGTGGTCTGTTGTTTTAGATTTCTGTGTATGGGTAAGTGGTCTGTTGTTTTAGTTTTCTGTGTATGGGTAAGTGGTCTGTTGTTTGAGATTTCTGTGTATGGGTAAGTGGTCTGTTGTTTGAGATTTCTGTGTATGGGTAAGTGGTCTGTTGTTTTAGTTTTCAGTGTATGGGTAAGTTGTCTGTTGTTTGAGATTTCTGTGTATGGGTAAGTGGTCTGTTGTTTGAGATTTCTGTGTATGGGTAAGTGGTCTGTTGTTTTAGTTTTCAGTGTATGGGTAAATAGTCTGTTGTTTTAGTTTTCAGTGTATGGGTAAGTGGTCTGTTGTTTCAGTTTTCAGTGTATGGGTAAGTGGTCTGTTGTTTTAGTTTTCTGTGTATGGGTAAGTGGTCTGTTGTTTTAGTTTTCAGTGTATGGGTAAGTGGTCTGTTGTTTGAGATTTCTGTGTATGGGTAAGTGGTCTGTTGTTTGAGATTTCTGTGTATGGGTAAGTGGTCTGTTGTTTGAGTTTTCTGTGTATGGGTAAGTGGTCTGTTGTTTGAGATTTCTGTGTATGGGTAAGTGGTCTGTTGTTTGAGATTTCTGTGTATGGGTAAGTGGTCTGTTGTTTGAGATTTCTGTGTATGGGTAAGTGGTCTGTCGTTTTAGTTTTCTGTGTATGGGTAAGTGGTCTGTTGTTTGAGATTTCTGTGTATGGGTAAGTGGTCTGTTGTTTGAGTTTTCTGTGTATGGGTAAGTGGTCTGTTGTTTTAGTTTTCAGTGTATGGGTAAGTGGTCTGTTGTTTGAGATTTCTGTGTATGGGTAAGTGGTCTGTTGTTTGAGATTTCTGTGTATGGGTAAGTGGTCTGTTGTTTGAGATTTCTGTGTATGGGTAAGTGGTCTGTTGTTTGAGATTTCTGTGTATGGGTAAGTGGTCTGTTGTTTGAGATTTCTGTGTATGGGTAAGTGGTCTGTTGTTTTAGTTTTCTGTGTATAGGTAAGTGGTCTGTTGTTTGAGATTTCTGTGTATGGGTAAGTGGTCTGTTGTTTTAGTTTTCTGTGTATAGGTAAGTGGTCTGTTGTTTGAGATTTCTGTGTATGGGTAAGTGGTCTGTTGTTTTAGTTTTCTGTGTATGGGTAAGTGGTCTGTTGTTTTAGTTTTCTGTGTATGGGTAAGTGGTCTGTTGTTTGAGATTTCTGTGTATGGGTAAGTGGTCTGTTGTTTGAGATTTCAGTGTATGGGTAAGTGGTCTGTTGTTTTAGTTTGCAGTGTATGAGTAAGTTGTCTGTTGTTTCCTTGGCCATGGCCTTGTCCATCTTTCTTTGACCTAAGTTTTTTTCTATTGCTTTCTTTGACCTTCTGAATTTCTTAATAAGTAAATCTTGAAATAGTATCATATGCTAGTGATGAATTTGAATGGAAAGAATTATGGGGTTCATTAGAAATTATTACATAAAATATGAAACCATCGCTAATAGCAAAAACTTGAATAGAAGAAAACAATTTTAAGGTTATATCTCTAAATTAGGTCGTAACATATGATACAATGAACTAATAAATTAGTCTACTACAGAATCAGATTAACCTTTAATATGTTCTGATGACATAAAAACATTTTTCAGTTTAGGGTAAGATCATTTTGAGAAGAAAAAAGAAGGCGCGTGTGTAGGTTGGAAGGATAGGTATGGATGACAATAACAATATAAACCTTTTTTTTACAATTATGAAACATATTTTGACAATGAAGAAAGGTTCTTACATTCACAGTAAAGGGTTGTACTGGGTTTTAATTCAGTGAACCGTATTGTATCCCTTTTTTTAACATAAAAGGGGAAGCTATAATTTGCACAAGATATTCTGAAGTTTTTGACATATCTTGATCTTTTCCTCGATATTGACACAGATGGACAACTTCAAAATAGAATCTATGGCGAACGTGATGATTTCAACTTTACATTTTCCCCAGTAACATACCCTCTTTTCCATCGTATGGCATTTACATATTTCAGTTTCGCTCGACGTGCATGCTCACACTGTACGGACTTAATTTATTAAACGATCTCTATCACCAGTTAGTTGACCAATACGATGTGTCGATGTCTCAACTCACTAACGACATGTTTTCGCGGTCTATGATCTTTAGATATCCCTGTAAAGTAGTCTGATCTGTAATTTTACTGATTACTAGTTTGTCGTTTCCCACGATTGTGACATTTTGACTGAGTGTAAAATCGCTTGGTGGGTAATATGTGGATAGCAGGAGACGCTTACCATGTCGAACCTCTCCGTTTGGAGTTCATTCAATTCACTCAATTTTTGTTTTTTACTTGGCTTTTTCTACCTTCGAGATTCGAACATCGGTAAACTACTGTCGCCTTAATTAACTAGTATCTAATCTAAAAGTTTTGAGAAGTACTAATTCAACTAAACATCCAAATAAAGACTTGAAGGGAAAATGCGAAGAGGACAATCAAAAAGGAAGAGATTTTAAGAAATTAATCGTGATTCATAAATCAGTCGACACAATAAAATACAAAATGAAAAGCGAGTTCATAGAAATTATACCAGATAGATGGAAAGTCTGAGTTTAGAAACAGTGTTAACAAAGATCTTCAGATACAAGTATAGTCGTCTATTCTGTAATTTTACCGATTTTGTCGTATTCCCGTTTGCAACATTTTAACTGAGCATGAATTCGCATGGCAGATGATGCATGTATAGCAAGAGACGCTTACCCTCTCGACGCACCCGGTCTGTTTATTTGCTCACCCAACTATGTCGATATAACGGAACTACAAACAACTGTCATACTAGTGGGAGGTTAAGCTAGCTGTAAAAATAGGTTGAACCCATTTTCTTTGGAAAAATGCCTGTACCAAGTCAGGAATATAACAGTTGTTTTCACTCGTTTGATATTTTCAGTTTTCTTGGACTTCCCTTTTTTTAATTTACCTTTGAAATTTTTGTTAGGGAGGTAACAAAGGATTTTCAAAAGAATTTCTTTATTTTGTAAATGCAAACTGATATTGAATCAATAACATTAACGGTATAATTTTACTACACTAAATGCGCATTGCGATAATTAATGTCTCGTTAGTGATGCTCGAGACCAAAACATAAAAAAATCATAATATGATACAAACGTTGAAGGGCTGATAGTACCGAAGAGGACCAAAAAGTAAAGCCAAATCTAGATAAGGAATCAGTGATCAATTTCACAAAAAATCGTTAGTGTAAGATCACACTTAAGACAAATCTTAAGTCAAAATCAAATTTCACAACAACAAAAAATACGAGGGAGATAGATTTCTTAACCTAATTTTTAGGCAACAGTGGTTTACCGATAGAAATAAATCAAGGTAACACAAAAAAGTGTTCACATTTCCATTGTGAAAATGTTTTGATAATTTTATTTAAAAATATCCAAATTTTCTAGTCACCGCCAAGTGCTGATTTACCGTGCAAGTTATTCTAGCAAAATATTTTTGTTGTCTACAATACTGACAGTATAACCTCAAAGAATGGTGTTAAACTCTAGATTCGTAGTACTGCATACAAAACAGATTATACTGAATATGTCATACAAATAAGCTCATCATAGATTCAAGGACTAAAATTGTGTACGCCAGACTCGCGTTTCTTCTACAAAAGATTCATCAGTGTTCCTGGGTTAGAGAAAATACTTAGTATTTCGAAAATTCAAAGTTTTGTAAACAGTTAATTTATAAGTATGTCCATATCGATGATAACTTAAGGACTTATCATTTTTACCTGGGAAAGGGGGGGGGGGGGCTGGTCATTTTGAAATCAAACATATACAATTTTCTTATTCCCCCATAATATTTTACTATTTTATTTTTACATTAAAAAAAATGTGATCCCCCTCTTTTAAACACGCCAAAATTTTAACATGCAAAACACTTACCTTTGACGCACATGATATGTAGGATATACTTGAAGATTAAAAAGTTCACAAATGTTTCATCAGAGATAAAATTGATCCCCCACTTTGAATTTACAGACAAATTTGAACCCCCCTTTTCCACTAACAGAAAAGAACTTGATCCCCCCTCACCAACAAGAACGCACTCAGTTTATGTTAGCGAACATAACATTGAAGCTGTATAAGTATGTTATTTTTTTTACCATGGGGTGATGTATTTCGAAAGTCAGATTTCTTCTCATGACTTGCCAGTAGACAGTTTTAAATTAATGATGCTGTTATTTAACATTCTAACTCAAAGAATTCAAGAATTCCGTATTATAGTAAGATGACATAAATATTTTGTTCTAGAATTCAAGGTAGTTGAATAAGTATTGATTCAAAAGCTTCTGGGTAATTGGCTTTTGCGTTGTTAATATAAAAAATCTTTCTACTTTTTTCTAGAGTATCGAGTTTTCTTGAACAATCTCTTGTAAATGATTTAAATACTGGTGGATTTCCATTGATATTAGTAGTTAAGCTGTAGTATGTTAGAGACAGGTACGGTAACATCCAACATTGCATACCATTTTAACAAATAAGGAACTCATTAGGCAGACTCCTTTTATATTTCGATATTACGGAAGCTATAGTTAAGTACATTTTGTTTTATTAATACTACAGATAAGAGAGTGCAGTTACATTTCCATTGCCAAATAATTTCTTTTTATCCGATACAAAAGAAAAGTCCGCCTATTTTTTTCCAATGCGCTTAATTGTTCCTTTGTCTTTTTAAAACATATAGTGCTGGAGGCTGTATCAGTTACTATGATTTTCCACAAAATCATAACAAATGCACACCGGTGTATAAATAATAGTGTCACGTGAGCATCTGCCTTTGGTAAATCTTGCACCAGGGTGACTAGTTGATATACTTGTCCAATTAAAGTCTCCTTGAGGATTTTATTCTTCGTCTCAAATTCTAACTGGAAAACTTTACGTGTGTAAATATATTGTGTAAATAGGAATCAAAGATACCAGGATTATAATTTAGTACGTCAAACGCTCGTTTCGTTCCAAAAAGTCTCAGCCGTAGCGCTCGAAACAAAACATTTGGTAGGCCACATCAATTAAGAAGTTGAAGAGCATTTATATAATATATATATATCATTTACACTTAACCATCTGAAAATGTATAAAATTAAATGTAAATGGAGGAATAATTTTTTTATTTGCACTAGCTACGACGTGGACTTTATTTATCTGAACACACGTTCTTTGTGGAAATTGTGGAAAATTCACTGAGCATCCCTTGCCATGAGGATAAATTTTTCAATACATCTATAGTACTATATATGTCTCTGCTTTTACAACTAAATAAGTTTTTGCTGAATTGAAATCTCTCTTATTACATAATAGCTTTTTAAACGTCTGGGATATGTTCGTTTTACACAGGAGTACTCTAAGCTAAGTTTTGTTTTAAGGTTCAGATCTCTACAACTGCATGTCATATTTAGTTAGTGGGTATGATTATGAATAGTAATGAAAGTCCACACAAAACTCGATCACATATGTAAATGTTTACTGTTTAAGTAAATTAAAGTAAATTGTGCACCCTGTGATATAATATTAACAAAACTTAATCAGTAGAGCTATGTAAGCTAATAAAAAGGAAACTTTCTTTCATTTTTAGACACCTTTTAAATTGAAAGAAATGGAAAGGCATCGTACAGCGCACATTACATTTGATAGAGCTAACCAATAACAAGGTCAGATATTGAAACAAAAGATATTCCTCTGGAACACATGAAATCTAATGTAGCCAGCGTAATGCTATTCAATCTAAAAATCATTGAAATAGCTCTTGAAAAAGAAATCAAAGTCAAATTGACCAGTTGACAAATGTATTACCTCTTTCATGTCTTTTGTCAACGATGTATGAATAGGAATGAGCATGTATGTTCTGGTGCACCTTCGATCACCCCGGTTATCGATGGGGTTTGTGTTGCTCAGTCTTTAGTTTTCTATGTATGGTTTTCTGTACTGTTGTTTGTCTTTTGGTTTTTTTTCGTTTTTTGCATAGCATTGTCAATAGATATAAGAAGATGTGGTATGAGTGCCAATGAGACAACTCTCCATCCAAGTAAAAATTTATAAAAGTAAACCACTATAGGTCACAGTACGGTCTTCAACACGGAGTCTTGGCTCACACCGAACCGTAAGCTATAAAGGGCCCCAAAAAATTACTAGTGTAAAACCATTCAAACGGGAAAACCAACGGTCTAATCTATATAAAAAACGAGAAACACTTATGAACCACATCAACAAACGACAACTACTGAACATCAGATTCCTGACTTAGGACAGGTGCAAACAAATGCAGCGCAGTATGTTTTCGACTTTGAGTTTGAATATCACTTTGGTATCTTTTGCCTTACTTTTATCTCACTGATGACGACTTAAACTTCAGAACAACCTAAAAATCTAGGGGTAAGAAGAACATTTGATTTAAGTATCTTCACATGTAGACTGTATCTTGCAAAGGGGGCGTTATAAGGCCCAACATAAGCAATTATCTCATCCAAGATCATTTAATTTCACATTCAGATATATTGAGAATGTTCTTTCCATTAACAATCCAAACTTTTCTGATTAGGTTCCATTAATGTATCCTTCAGAACTAGAAATTAATGAAACAACAGACACGGCTTCCTCCGCCTAATTTTTAGACTTATGCCTGGAATTTGACATAAGCGGTCATCTCAGTACCAGAATCTATGACAAACGAGACGATTCTAATTTTGAAATTATAAATTATCCCCACCTAAGCAGCAATATACCAACTTCACATGCATATGGGATATACATTTCCCAACTCATTCGGTATTCAAGAGCTTGCAGCTGCTACTCAGATTTTACAAAACGTCACGAGTGTCTGAGCAGAAAGTTGATGAACCAGGGTTATGTCAAAGAACGTCTCGTCCTTTTTTTTTTAAGTTCATCGGAAGATACTAAAACCTTGTTGATAAATATTCCGTATCAACTGCACAAATAATACATGATGGTCTTGAAGTATAGATTCTAGGTACTGGCGTTGTGTGTCATCTTAATTACGTGTTATGGTGTTCTTTTTATTTTTCTTTGTATATTTTTAACCATTACTGTTTAGTCCATTTTTGTTAATATACTTTTGACTTTTGGCGTGGCTCGGTATTTATACATCCCGCCATTGTGTTATTGTGCTATGGTAATTTTTGAATTCTTGTCTTTCATTTTTGCTCATGTACTTTGTCTATAGAGTGTCTATATGCCATTTTGTTTTTTCTTTGTTGTAATAGTTCTAGTTGAGTTTTATAGTGATTAAGATTATAACACAATGTTGACTGCTACATTTTCTGCATAAGGAAATGCCTGTACCAAGTCAGCAATATGACAGTTGTTTTCCATTTGTTTGATGTGTTTGGGCTTTTGATTTTGCCATTTGATAAAGGACTTTCCGTTAGGAATTTTCCTAGGAGTTCGGTATTTTTGTTACTTTACTTTTTTCATACTTTTAATTCATACCAATACAAAAATGTGGGATCATATTTTTTGTTTTAAATCTGAATCAACCACTGTAACATCATATCTACTATCCATGATTTCTTTTTCAAAATATAATAATAAAGTTATTTCATAGTCATTTGAGCTGTTATAAAACAATCACTTCATACCCTAACATAACCTTATACTCAGTGTTTATAAAACACATTTCAAGACATAATTCGAAAACTGATTTGATACATTTTATTTCATATTCATTTAAAACGATTTTGCACCATTTTACAACTTTATAAATAATATAACATTTAGCTTAATTAACATCTCATTCTCATCAGCAACATTTAAAATAACAATCACTCATACATCCATATATCATTTAACCATATATATGTAATATTGTAGTTATAAGATATTAACACATGCCACCAGCACACTTTTATTATTTCATGGTAAACTTCTTGTCAAGGAAAAGAACATGTCAGTAAATTGATAACACCAAGTTATCTAGAACATCTTATTTTTGAAGAAGATTGTAAAGGGTAATTTTAATGCAACCTGATAGCCAATTTCTCATCTTTCATTCTGAAATGCTGGTACCTAAGGAGTCATGTTATATGCAAATGGATAAATATTTACCTTTTTTCAAAGTCTTAATGTTATTTTTATAATTCATTGTAAATTCATACATTATTAACCATTCTTTCCAAAAAGTCCCCTTTTCACCGCTATTAATATTATCCTTTTACATCATATGGCTATTTTAAAATCAAATGTCTATGAGTGAAGGAAAGATTCAAACTTTGTAGACCTCCAACCCAAGCAAAGCCCCAACATTTATAATATTTTTTTGAGTGCATCACAGCCCTTGGTTTGGTCAATTTTATAAAACCACCTACAACATATGAAAATTTGTAAAGGGTTCCATGGAACCCTATGTCTCCTCTGCGATTGATGCTGTCAGTGTATAAGTGTAGTGTTGACTTAAAAAACGAGTCCATTTATCAGTAAATTACAGAATTATAAAAAAAAAATTCAATCCAAGTTTTATAACAATCCATGAAGATTTACAAATTTATCATGAAAAAAAAAATTAATCCCAGACTGTGTGAATGCTAATTGTAAAAAACTAAGTCCATCTATCAGAAAAATACTGAAAATGAAAAAAATATATTTTAAAAAGTTTGCTTCAGTCATACTATTAATTATAAAAAAAGCTTCTTCCAAAGTTTCATAAAATTCTATGAAGACTTGACAAAGTCATTGGTGTGTAACAAACTCTAACCCCAGACTGTATCTCCATGTTAACTGTAAAATAAATTAAGTCTATTTATCAGTTAAATACGGAAAAGTGAAGATAAATATTTTAAAATTTAGCTCTGGATATTGTCTTTTGGTCATAAACAACCTTCTGTCCAAATTTCATAAAATTCCATGAAGGTTTTACAAATTTATTGATGTCTAAAAAAACTTTAACATCAGACTGACTCTAAATGTTGACACCAGCGACAGAATCTAGGATCATTATGTCTTGCTTTCACATGATAAATGTAGCAAGGCTCAACAAAAAGCATTATCTGCATATGAAACTTGGTAAGGGAATGGTTGCTGACATTAATATTTCTCGTAATAATAAAAACAATGATGGTCTCTATAATTCTGCTATGCCACTAAGAAACATGAAACATTGTTCAATGACACTGCTCCAAACTGTCGTCTTTAAAATGCTGAGTGGAAATTTCTTCCATGAATCTGTTTATTGAACATTTAAATTTAATGAAATGTGTTGACTTATAAAAACTCATCAAAGATACCAGGCTAACAGTTTGGTTTTCCAGACACACTTTTCGTCTATACAAGACTCATCTGAGGTACTCAAATTAAAAAGTTGTGAGGCCAATTCAAATAGGAAATTGAAAGCATTAAAAACCCAAAATTCTCAAAAAGTTGCAACTTATATAATTAATAGATATAGGAAGATGTGGTATGAGTGCCAATGAGACAACTCTCCATCCAAGTTACAATTTATAAAATTAAACCATTATAGGTCAAGGTACGGCCTTCAACACGGCTATATTTGCCTGTGGGATAGAAAACACTTCAGTGTTTCAAAAAAAAAAATCAACATATTTAAAACATTAAATTTACGGAAAATGAACACATCAATGATATTTCATGTCAGCACTAATAAAAGCGCTGATTACTGGTGATACCCTCAGAGACACATCAACCAGGGGTGGCATCAATCACTCAAAATTACCAGACTTTTATATATTTCAGTTAGGACTAGTTTAGATGTCAATGGTATAAGATACAGTCAAAATCATGAACATTAATCACTCCATAAGTTTCATTTTTTCTAAAATACTGTCCATCACTTTATTTCTGCACACACATAAAAACTTCAATTCTTTCTTAGTACAACAGTTCTTTCATGCCTTCCATGTCCAATGTCTGCTGTGCTATGCAATGGAATATGTTTTTTTTGGAATTAGAATACCTTTGCATGGAAATGTGACTGAAAGCAAGTTACATGCATACTCACAATCTGAATTAATATTAATACATACATACATGAGTATTAACACAAATTTATGTTAGTCTATATACTGTTACATCCATGTCCATGAAACTCACATTATGTATTTCATTAATTTAGTAAGACTGCATTTTGTCATTACAGTTCAAACTCCAAACTTAGAAAACAGACACTGATAAATATACTGTAAATTTAAAAATTATTGCAAGGTTTTTATTAATTTGTATAATTCAAATAGGTCAGTATTGCAAGTGAGAACTGGTTTATGATAACCTATACATATTTTTTATGTAGATTTTCCTGAAACCACAATAATTCATCTCGCATTTTTGTCCATTCCTCAAAAATTGCGATAATAAATACATGCAATAATTTCTGTTAAATCTTCTTTTTCTAGTTCATATAAAATCAAATGGAAATGTATTAACTGTGACATACTAATGTGTGATAAATGCAAGAACAAAGTTCATGTTAAATTAAACAGAATTGATAAAACTGTGACGTAATAATGTGTGATAAATGCAAGGACAAAATTCACGTTAAATTGAAATTTGCAAAGGACCAGACAGTTATTCATATAAAAGAAGTTGGCATTCATAGGGAAGCACTGAACTTTTCCAATTTGAAATGTGGAGAACATGCAGGACAATCTGCTGTTACGTTTTGTACGTCGTGTGATTAGTTAGTTGACACTGTGCATTTTGAAATTCCATAATGGTCATGGGTTTGTAGAAATAAGAGAGGCTTATAACATCAAAGTAAAAAACACAAAAAAATGAACAGACAATTGCCCTGTTTCCCTGTAGTTCACTGTCAACACCAGCAACAGGAGTTTTAATTTGATTCATCTTATATGTACTGTACTATCTATATTTTGCAATTTTTTTTAAGAAATAATAGGCCTATCAATAAGTTGTTATACATTTAGTTAATATTTTCTGGTACCTTACAGCCAATTTCATTGAGTGTGTAGGAAAAGGTAAAATCTTTGGTTAGCTTGCTTGCTAGCTGAACCGTGAAGTCATTATAAATTAGGTAAACTACCCTCCTTTATGAGTAGACTAGTCCGACAGACAGATAGAATTGGTTATCTGTGGGACTAGTCTACTCATAAAGGAGGGTAGTTTACGTAACCTAATAATGACTTCACGGTTCAGCTAGCAAGCAAGCTAACCAAAGATAATACCTATTCCTACACACTCAATGAAATCGGCTGTAAGTGATCAGTAATTCTTAAAACATGTTATAATAAGGTTTTAGATTTTTCATTTCTTGTTCAAAATAAATATGTGCAGATTGCTAGAGTAATTATTTATTTGTTTGATGTACTGTGGTATACTACACAAAAGTCTATTTGCTATCAGAAAAAGTTCATATTTCAATTTACAACAATATATTTAATGCTGCTCAAAATCTGATGGTAATTTAAGCAACTGCTAAATCTTTTTTCCTAGTTCATATCAATATTAATGGAAATGTTTAAACTGTGACATACTAATGTGTGATAAATGCAAGGACAAAATTCACGTCAAATTGAAATTTGCAAAGGACCAGACAGTTATTCATATAAAAGAAGTTGGCATTCATAGGAAAGCACTGAACTTTTCCAATTTGAAATGTGGAGAACATGCAGGACAATCTGCTGTAATGTTTTGCACATCGTGTGATTAGTAAATTGACACTATGCATTTCGAAATTCCATAATGGTTATGGGTTTGTAGAAATAAGAGAGGCTTATAACATCAAAGTAAAAAACATAAAAAATGAACAGACAATTGCCCTGTTTCCCTTTAGTTCACTGTCAATACCAGCAACAGGAGTTTTAATTTGATTCATCTTATATGTACTGTACTATCTATATTTTGCAATTTTTTTAAAAAAAATGATTGGCCTATCAATAAGTTGTTATACATTTAGTTAATATTTACTGGTACCTTAAGTGATCAGTAATTCTTAAAACATGTTATAATAAGGTTTTAGATTTTTCATTTCTTGTTCAAAATAAATATGTATAGATTGCTGGAGTAATTATTTATTTGTTTGATGTACTGTGGTACACTACAGAAAAGTTCATATCTCAATTTACAACAATATATTTAATGTTGTTAAAAATCTGATGGTAAATTTAAGCAACTGCTAAATCTTCTTTCCTAGTTCATATTAATTTTAATGGAAATGTTTAAACTGCGACATACTAATGTGTGATAAATGCAAGGACAAAATTCATGTCAAATTCAAATTTGCAAAGGAGGAAAACACATGTCTGATATAAAAAATTCTAAGCCTGGTATCTTTGATTAGTTTTGTTTTTACTGTTGTTTCACAAATTCATAGGGCCCTTAATATTCATTTTGGAAACGAAAATGTTTTTATGTGTTTCAAGTTTTTATTTTTAGGCATTCATTTAGAACTCTTAATGAATAAATTATTGTTTACACATAATAAGGAATTACAATCCAAACTCATGTTGAGAAAAAGAAAAATTAAAAAGACTTTTTTTAGTTTGTAAATAATGTTTCCAAAGGGAATTATTTGATCTTTCCTCTAATTCAAAAATACTGTATTCTCCAAACATAAAATATCAGTTGAGATTGGAAAGAGACCAGGAAAATAGGTCAGCCAGATTTGCTTATAACTATAGTTTCTAACAGAAAAAAAATGGAAGAAAATTCAAATTGTTGTTATCCAATACCATTACGTTTAATAATAGATGTGGGCATTTTTTCATTTTTACTCTGTCATATAATATGTATTGAATACACTGAAAGTCTAAGAAATCAAAGTGCTTGTGAGCACTTAAGGTAAAGATTGCTTTCACTTTGCAATGTGAACTTAATATTTAACATTGAAATGAGTAATTAGGAAATACTTTGAATGGAAGAGGTCTTCTTTTGTTCATAATTGAATATTTGTAGTTCTTAGAGCTCTTTGAACTCTCTAAGGTAGAGATGAGGCCTGGAAGATTTAACTTCAAGCCAGTGAATTGTGGGTTTTTTATCACATGAACATTATAACCAAAAAATTTGTAAGGGTTCCGCGGAACCCAGTGTCTCGCCTACTTTTGCTGTTAATCGCAGGCTCAACAAAAATGAGGAAAACAAATTAATAAAAATATTCCTCTCTATACTATCTTTTGATTGTAAGTAGCTTCTGTCCAAGTTTGGTAAAAATCCAGGATAGTTTATGAATCTAATAAACTGCAGACTGTATGTAATGTTAACTGGAAGAAAAACTAAGTCCATTTATAAGTAAAATACGGAAAAAATGGAACAAACTTTTAACAAAATTTCCTTCTAGATATTAGCTTTCAATCATAAACAAGCTTCTGTCCAAGTTTGGTACAAATCCAGGATAGTTTAAGAAAGTTGTTAAAATTTCAAAAAAACTTTAACCACAGAGTGAATGTAATGTAAACTGGCAGAAAAACTAAGTCCATTTATAAGTTGAATACGGATAAACTGGATTTTTTTTACAAATTTTATTCTGGATACTATCTTATGATCATAAACAAGCTTCTGTCCAAGTTTGGTACAAATCCAGGATAGTTTAAGAAAGTTGTTAAAATTTTAAAAACTTTAACCACAGAGTGAATGTAATGTTAACTGGCAGAAAAACTAAGTCCATTTATAAGTAAAATACGGAAAAAATGGAAATTTTTTTTACAAAATTTACTTCTGGATACTATCTTATGATCATAAACAAGCTTCTTTCCAAGTTTGGTAGAAATCCAGGATAGTTTAAGAAAGTTATTAACATTTCAAAAACTTTAACCACAGAGTGAATGTAATGTTTCCTGGCAGAAAAACTAAGTCCATTTATAAGTAAAATAAGGAAAAAATGGATTTTTTTTTTTACAAAATTTACTTTTGAATATTATCATATGATCATAAACAAGCTTCTGTCCAAGTTTGGTAGAAATCCAGGATAGTTTAAGAAAGTTATTAAAATTTCAAAAACTTTAACCACAGAGTGAATATTTGTGGACGCCGCCGCCGCCGACGACGGAATGTAGGATCGCTATGTCTCGCTTTTTCGACAAAAGTCGAAGGCTCGACAAAAATACCCCTAATATTAACAAACATTAACAATTGATATATCAGCACTAAAAGAGATCTTAATAAAATCCCTGTGCATGCTGAATATATAGTTATAGGACTCCAAAATATACACCTGACTAATGTATTAAAGTGAAGTCTCTACTATTGTATTTTGATTAAAAAATATTAATGTTCATGTTCACATTAGATAATTATGGGTATGAGTATGAACATTTACATTGATTGATTGTTGGTTGCTTAACATCCAGAGGCAAATATTTTATGCATGTTCACAACAATGAAAATTTACAGCTTCTGTTTATATACTGGATTGTGACAACCTTTTTACTTTATCATTCAAAATTCAAAGATTTAAATAATCAAAGTAAAAACAACTTGGTATTAATTAAGAATAAAATTGATCGCTTTAACACTTGAATATTTTGTTGACCTGTTTTAAGTACTTGATTTAAGAGGGAAAACATTTAATTAGAATGCATATTGAACTTAAATTATTGATGTAATACACAAAAGATAAAAAAAACCTAACAGAAATAATTTAGAATATTTAAGTTGCTTAATAACTATGTCCATTCCTGTGTGTACAACAAAACAGGATTTGCTAGCCATAAAGGGTTATTTATACCCTCACATATTAATAGACATTGACAAAAAATTGTATGTATCATCAAATAGAAAGTAAATACCTGGCAGATCTGTGAACCATTAACACACCTTAACTCATCTGGCTAAATATCAAATAATTTAAGCAATACTAAATTAAATGGAAATGTTTAAATTGTGACATACTGATGTGTGAAAAATGCAAGGACAAAATTAATGTTAAGTTCAAATTTGCAAAGCAGCTGGGTAATGTGTTACAAAAATTCTATCATCAGTGGGTATAGTTAAAATTTAAAGTATCATAAAACTGAAAATTGTGAACACAAAACAACTCAGAATTATAAAATTCAAGACCAGAAGAGGAGTAATATGAAACAATAATTTTGGAATCACAAACAGACAGAATGCAGTAAACCATCAAATCTGTGAGTAGTGGTATAATACACATCAGAAATGATTATCTGGATACTGGAATTACAATAAAACTTGAACATGTGAAATATGGAAATGGTTTGAATTCCAGCATTTTTAAAGCTTTTTACAAGCCTTTGAATCAAATTTTTAGCCCTTTTAATTTATGCCCTAATATACAGTGTAATATACCCTTTATGCTCTTAAACCATATTGATGGAAGTGTACCTTTGATTTGAAAAGAAAAAAAAATTTCTACAATGTCATTTGAAGGTTACCGGTTATATAAAATATTGATCAAAGTATCTGGATTTCAACTTTCACCCACTGTATTGCACTTCAACAAGATGTAAGTTTGTCTGCTGTTATTCATAAAAAAGATTAGAAAAAAAAAAACTGTTGCACAATTGCCCTTTGCAACAAGACAGCTTAAAGCTGACATTACTCAATGTAAATTCTATATGAAATAACAGTGTTGAATCATTAAACATATTTTTAAAACAATGAAATTAAAAAATAAATTGGCAGTTAATTTCTTGCTTTGTTTGTCATGTTCTTTTTTTAAACCTCTTTCTATTGTGTCTCAGCTGAATATATAATGGAATACACAGCCAATTGAAGCAGTGTTTGTGTACATCATGATGACCTCTAATTTTCCAAAGGTCACTGGGTGGCAGCAGAGTATCTCTGTAACAGAAATGTTTGACAGTCATCACAGACTCGTACTGGCTTGGCTGAAGAGGGAAGTGGCATTTTATTGTCTGAACACTCATTACAGAAAATATTTCCACAATTCCGACAGTGGTGCTGAAAAAAAGAAAAAAGAAATCAAAATGTAACAGCTTTATTAAAATCCTGCAATATTCAAACACAAAACATACATATAAATTCTACCACATTGAAAATGATATTTTTACAGTTGGATTTGCAAAACTTACAAATTACAACTATCCAGAGTGGTTAAATATTGTAGTAAAAGTGTTAAAATCGGTTTCTCAAATGATTTAATGGAAAATACTGAGGGCAATGGTCCCAAGAATATAGAAGGACATGAGACAAATTTAATCCACTTATGGTTTATCCAAATTTCTCTTTATTCTAAGCCAGCTATTTTCCCGAATTGTTAATTATTTTTAAGGTTTGGTTCAATTAATTGGTAAAAATTCAATAATGATGTAAAGTTTTCTTGCTTTCCTGTGGTTTTGCTATTGTGACATCACAAAAAAGGCAACCATGCCTGATGACATCACTTATAAGGAACATGATCCTTTTTACAGAATGTTAAGAAGAAAGATATTAAAGTTTGCCTAAATATCTCCTAATAATTATTATAGAGAAAAAGATTTCACCTTGTGCAATACAATAGTGAATAATTCTCAATTCTCGACAATTAAACATTTAAAATTGTAAAGTTGAACTGTCTTGACAGCAGAAATATTTTTTTGCAGTTATGAATTCAAACTGCAATTGGGTGAAACATTTAAGCACATTGGTATTGTGAAAGGACAAAGCCTTTTGAATATGGACAGTAAAACAAAATTATGAAGACTGCTAAGAGTTCTGATCCTCCTGACATGTAGAAATTTTTTCCATTTGTAGAAAATTCAACCTCCCATTCAGGTGACTTTTCTTCAAGGGGAAATTCCAAATTCTCTAGAAATTATTTTAATGAGATTCATTTCTACTTATATCTGGTAACTTGACAAATCAACAGTGAGAAGCATACAAACCTTCCTTCTAGATATTGAGAATTCTTTCTCACATGTTTTACAACATGAAGCATCTTTATCTCCCTTCCATTGTAGATCCTTTGTGGCCATCTGTGCTTCTTTCATGTCTTCTACACGTAATTTGGATCTGTAGGAAAATACAAAAAATAAAAGAATGTCACGAATGCCCCACTCAAGCTTTACAACGTAAATGGGACAGACGGACGGTGAAGGGTAACACTTAATGCCCCCATCGCCTAAAACAGGGCCGTAAAAAGTACGAACAAAAAATACTGAACTCCAAGGTAAATTAAAAGAGGCGGAAGTCTAAAAACCTGCCAAAAACAAATGATTGACTATATCAACCAACAGACTGAAACGGAAAACAACTGTCATATTCCTGACGTGGTACAGACATTTTCTGTTGAATAGGGAACATAACATTCAAAATGTTACAGCACAATTATCAACAAAACTTGATTATCACATGTAATTCAATCAATTAAAATTTCATCAACAAATCAAGCAATCTAATTGAAATACAGATTATATATTCACTCTTTGCTTAGATGGATCCTACAATATTCTACTTTCTGTTCTAATAATTATAAATTCAACCAATGAAATTTCTGCCTTCAAATTTTTGAAGTCCTAAAAAGATCTACAAAACCAACGTCAAACAGAGTGTTGTCAGAACCTTGTAAGTAAATCATTGATTATTGGTCTTTATCACCACCACCAGCTCTCTTGGATATATCATGACAGCCAGTTTATATTGGATGAGGACATCAAAGTACCCGGAGAGAACCAGAACCTTCTGCAGGAAACTGCCAGTCCTAGTTAATCAAGAATGGAGACAAAAGCAACTTGCAATAAGCAGGATTCAAACTCACAACCTTAGTGTTGACAGGCTAGTGATTACTGTAGATGAAAGAATCAAACCACACTGCCACCAAAGTGACCAAATCCCCATGAAGCATGGACAAAGGACCTGTATTTTAACCAGAATGTCTAATTAAGTTTATTAGTAATGATGTCTACTTATGATGTTTTGAACTGACATATATTTTTCACTTTTCAGTGAAAAGTATTTTTAAAATGGAATAATCGTATTGGAACACTGAAAAAAAAAAATCATCTATGAAAAAACAGAGGGAAACTACAAAGATAAACAACCAATGAATAAAAGAGATAAATGGCAAAGAATTTTCCATTTAAGAAATCATACTTATTACCAAAATCTAAAAATTGATTAGACTAAAATCCAAATTTTAATTCCAAGTTATTCTTTTTTAATGAATGCAAGTCCTACTTACTCGCTTAGATGTGAACCTAATTCTGCTAATGCTCGTTCTTGTTCTTCACATGCTTTCTGTAAACTTAAGTGACCTTTCTGTAATTCTGTGTAATCCTACAACAGTATAGATAATTGATATCAATATTGGTCAAAATTGGCCTTTCATATAAAAAACATATAAGCTACTATAGTAACAGTAGAGTTGCTGACCAATTATATAGTCATTCTGTTGGTTAGAACCAGAGAAAAGTGGGACTGAAATGTTTGTAAGATTAATGAACAGAAGAATGGATGGATATGATAAATGCTATATAGCCCCCACTCCTAAAGTGGATTAACTACATGGCATAAATGAGGGTCTGGATGGCGGTCCTTCATTTCTTTCTTCTTTAAATCTATTTTTCTCTATTCTTTATTTACTTTGCACACTATTATCTATTCTTTATATTTAAGCACCCTTTTATTCTCTATTCTTCTTTAAATTTATTTTTCTCGAAACTTTATATTTTTTGAACTTCATTCTGCACTTTATGCCCATTCTACTAATTACGCTCCTCGGCTCTTCGAGGATGTTACTATAGCATTCATTTCCCGATGTACAACGAGGCATCTCATTTAAAAGAGGTCAAAATCCTTGACCTATGGGTATGACGTAGCTATACCTAGCTATAAATACTGCGGCTATTACCTGTGCCAATCATATTATTTTTCGAGCAGCGAGGTGTCTAACTCGTTATAATCTGTGACGACGTCCAGAATTTTAAGATTTTGTAAAACTGAGAACGTTGTTCCAGTAAAAAATGTTTTATAAACATTAGTTATCTTGAGAACTTATTATCCAAGTTCGTTAAATACAATGTATTTTATCGTTGTTCTTTTTTCTAATCCTTGTTCTAAAAATACACGTGTACTGTGGTGTGTAACACACAGGTGCTTATCACGTAATCAATGGTGGACCGAACGTTCACTTTTTAATAATTTTGACATTTTTTCGTCTAAATAAATTGATACATTATCGTAGTTATTTTAACACGAATGAAACTCTATACAGAAGTATATGAGTAGAATGTCTTTCTTTATTTTCAAGGTAAGTGCAAAATGTACGAAGGTGTACTCGTACATTCTTGCTATAATGTACCCACGTAGTGACGTACAATTTATAGAAAATATAGCAAATATACTTGAGATTTTATTATCACAAAATGTGATTAAAAAACATTTCTTATTCCAATATAAGAAACTGTAATGTAGTGCATTGGAATATTATGCTAGACTACTTGGTCGATATGTACACCTGTATGTGTGTTACTATAAATAGACAAAGTTAGTGATAATACGGAAGGCATAATGTGCCACTTCCAATCTAAGGTATCTGTAAACCTTTGCTAAAGATATGTTATATCAAATAATGTTCAAATAGCTAATTTTTAAAAGCTTATTTGTCCAAAGCAATTAATGAGCCTAGAGACTTTTATAAGTCCTTGGTGTGTCATAAATGTGACAACAGTTCAGAATGAACTTACAATATTGTTGAAACTATCAAGAATATGTACAGAATATGTATATCTGTAATATACAAAGCCATTTAAGGCTTCAAAATAAGTTCTTAGTGAGATAATAAAACTGTGTTACAGTTGAAACATTTACAGAAATAATATTATGTGACTGATATTTAAAATATCTGAATATTGAGAGGCCAGTGGAATATCACAGCAAACATGACCAGAAATAGGTCGAAGGAGGAACATTAGCATTTAATGAATAGTTCCTTGTAGAGCATTTAACATGCCACTAACAAACAATTGATTAGGTAGAAACATACTGTAGAAAATAATAGTAAAACAATTATTATTGTTTGAAAAATCTGCAACAATGCAGTGTTTTAAAATGCAAACTTTTGTTGCATAATTCTGTACATGAAGTTAATCTCATGTCTTTTACTATGATTTAAGATTTTATATCTTTATCTTGGCAAAAATTAAAGCAGAGGAGCATTGCTCATTGTTAACATGAGTTCTTTGCTTTTGAAAAAGAATAAGTACAATATGATAATGATGTTGCAAATTGTGAGAAGTGTGATGCCAACATATCAAAACATACTAGTTGATATCAAATATTAAAAAAGAAAGATCATAGGATCTTCTGAAAAAATTATATGATTGACCTGCATTGGTCAGATGTAAATTCCTTTTTTCAAGGATAATTTTTATGATGTTGACATAACATGCATAGTGTTACCGACCATGCAAGGGCTGTATAGTCAGTCAAGGTCGTTAAAAACTTCCATATATGTATGCATAGTGTGGAAGGAAATAAAAATAATTTCCATTGGATGGTTTTATCATTGCCTTGAAATTCATCAATGTAGATTTCATATTATGAATAAAATTATTTGACACTTGTAAAATGATACATTCATGAACATTTATTACCATATCTTTATTAAAGATATCCTCATATAGTTGAAATAAGACAATAAAGTTTTTCAGTCTTGTATCTTGGCATTGTTATAACATTAATTATGAATATAACAAACAAAGCCTTAGAATAGGTAAACAGTTACTCTTTTCTGAAGAAATAGTTCATAGTTATTGTTCTCATTAATCAGAACACAATTGTAGATCTTGATCATGTTGTCTACAAGGTATCAGTAATAGTAAACAACTTTTTACTGTAAAATATAGTTTGAGATACAACTATAAAAATTATTTAGATTCTGCCAAGGAAGGAAGATTCTTTCCAAAAGTCCTATTTTGACTTGCAGAAAATATTGTATAAATGTGCTTATTTTGATAAGACAAATTGTGCTTTACAATCTCAGTAATGATACTAGATATGATAAGCTATAATATATATTTATTAAATTGCAAATGGTAGCAACAATGAATGTCAAAGAACTATACAAAACAGGAAGATTTTTCTCTCAACATGCAAATTTTGCTTTGATGTTGGACATGAAATATCTGACATATTTTCCTTTTTATAAAAGGAATACTATAATGTACATTAGATATGTGCATCACTAATCTTTATTTGACTAAGTGTTGCCTTGTTATAGGCTAAGTCATATCTCTGTAAACAATTGAATATAATGTTTAGGGGACTAATCTCCTACACATTTTTCGTGTCAGATAGCAAATACTGAAGAAAGTAGTATTACATGAATTTATGTAGAATTTATAAAGTTTCTATAATGATAATCAAATGATAATATTGCATCTATGCATCTGTATTATTGAAATCCTTGATGGAAATGAAAATTGAAAATGGTGATCTTTCTAGACTCCATGAACTTGAAATAGAATTGCTATATTGATGCTTTTGTATCATCAGTTTATAAGAATTGACATATTCATGGTATGATATATATATATATATTATATATCATTTATATATTTTTATGCTCCATCGAGAAATGCAAAGTATTCTATAAAGCATTAGAATTTGCAAAGCAAATTACAAACTAATATTTTGTATATGTACACTGAATTTTCTTTTCAGTTCAGATAGAAATTACTTTTCTTAATTACATGTAGTTATATTGCTCTAAATTTAACATAGCCATATATAAAAAAAAAAAAAAAAAAAAAAAAAAAAAAAAAAAAAAAAAAAAAAAAAAAAAAAAAAAAATTGTACATGTAAGATGTATCATAAGCATATTGTACAAAGGAGCAGTTCAAGTCTTGACTGATATAGGTTAATATACAGTAATAGTTATATTCCTTCAATATCCAACATGTGTATGGATATCAGGATGGGTGAAGGTCATTTTCAAATGTTACAGTTTACAATGGAAGTATAAACTTTGTAACCCTTCTCCAGTTCTTTTTAAGAAAATTACCAGATTATCAGATGAGTGTTCACAGAATAGTATTACTTAAATCTTAGGATTTTTAAAACACGCTGGATCAAGTTTTAATTCTGGATATATTGATCTATATTAATTCTTATAACATAAGATATTAAATAGCTACACTGTTTTTTGTATAATTTGTTTATACTTAATGAAATATCATAACGATGATACTTTTGAGATGATTAACTTCAGAATGGAACATTAGATGCAGTATGTATATGTAGACCTAGTCTGTATGAAGTGTTGGACTTTAAGATTCAGTTTATTATCAATACTGTTTGATATATATATACATTACTCATATACTACATACTCATTGTCATAAACAAACATGGAATGTAAATTTACTGAACCAGACATCAAATACTATATTGTAGTTGGTATATTCCAGATACAAATGAATAAGAAGAAATTTGTAAATATAGTCACTTTATTAAGTGTCCTGAATAAGAACTAAGGTAGAGGCTGTTCATCTTTGACATCTACATGTAGTTTTAAATAAGTCAACCTTTAATTAACAGGTGACCTTAGTGTGACAGTAATCACCTATTTATGACTTTTTAATATGACTCAGAGAGGAGTTTTTGATTGCTAAGTTATGTTAAAGTTATGAACATTAACACTATTTGAAGCTTTCGTTGCTTACTTGAGCTTTTGAATCAATTTTTCTGTTCTTACAATATTAAAGACAGACTGAATTGCAAATGTCATGCAAAGAGATAATACTTGTAGAACTTGCAGTGACAGTTTTTAGCTAGTAAATATACTAGATATTTTACCATGGATTAATATTAGATAAATCATGTATACATAATATTGAAAGCTTCAGAATTCTAATGAAAATCTGTATCTGGCTGTGTTTACATCGGTATTTAAACTACTGTCTCCTGAATTTGTCTTCAAATTCTTGTTTGTTCATACACATCTGAACTACAGAGACTACTGTCATGTTAGAAGAGTACAAAAATAAGGGCTAAAGAATTAAACACTTTCAAATATTTAAGAAAAGTGTTGCCGAATAATATGTCAGTAGATATTTAGATATACAAATAATGGTTTGTAAGCAAGTATCAGGCAAATGGTATTTTGAAAATTCAAAACTTGTTATATAGACATAGGAAGATGTGGTATGAGTCAGTTATGCTCTTTATATAGTTAAGAGAATTTGTCTTGAATGTATAGAATAAGTTATTATTCTTGAAAATAGTGAAATTCAGACTACAAAATATATTGAGAGAAATATACATTTTGTTTTGTTTTCATTTTCAAAATTACTTTAAATGTTTTTGAAACTATTTTTTATACCTGGACTAACAATATTGGTACTTTACCTTAATATTTAGATTATATTTTTATTAAGTCAGAAAGATTAGTTAGATTGACAACTATCTTAGTCTCCAGTATATTCTGGACTGATTCAGCAAATTCTGATTTGCTCCTTGTTAGTTGTTCAGGGAACTACTTGTTTGTGCCAACACTTTGAATATGCTATAGTAACATCCTCGAAGAGCCGAGGAGCGTAATTAGTAGAATGGACTCTCATCCAAGTATAACTTGGAATATGAAGGATGAGAGTCATTCTAGTAATGGAGCCTGAGGCTCAAGAGGATGTTACAATTTACCCACCCAGTTTGGAGGGTACTGTTTGCCCATCCCAATTGTTTTGGTTGCACAAACAAACTTTGAATCATGATTGGCACAGGTAATAGCCGCAGTATTTATAGCTAGGTATAGCTACGTCATACCCATAGGTCAAGGATTTTGACCTCTTTTAAATGAGATGCCTCGTTGTACATCGGGAAATGAATGCTATAGTAACATCCTCTTGAGCCTCAGGCTCCATTACTAGAATGACTCTCATCCTTCATATTCCAAGTTATACTTGGATGAGAGTCCATTATTCTCTATTCTGTAAACCCCATCCAGACCCTCATAAATGTTTTACCATGGTATAATAAATTGCTTCGCTGAGCGCAGCTGGATACGACCGCAGATGTCCAACCCTGAAAAGTTGGGCCAAAATGGACACAATATTCACGCTTGATACAGGTCTGAATTTGGATTGTAACTAAATTTTTGACACATAATAGGTTTCTGACACAGAATAACTGTAGTCAAAGAACTTCAAATTGGTTATATGATTTGAATTTATATTCAATTTATTGCTTTTGTGCAATACACTATGCTGTTGCGAATTGACCCCCCCCCCCCCCCTTACCAAAAAAAATTTATTTTACCCCGTTTTTTTGCTTTTGTGCATATACACTATGCTGTTGAATATTAACCCCCCCAAAAAAATATTTGAAGAAATTTTCTTTTAATTTCTGAAATCTGAAATGAGAAAAATTGTCCCCCCCTCCAATTCTTTTCACCTCCCCCTTTCCCTTATTCCCCAAAAAAATTCTTTCCCTCAAGATATGGTCAGTATCTCAATTCAAATTTCTAATGCAGTTTGCAACCAAAATTACCCATTTAAATACATCATAAAAGTTTTAAAATATAAAATGACATACATAGTCATGGCTAAAATTAATATTAATTAATAGTAACTGCTAAAAATAAATTGACAGCTAATCACCTCAAGACAATCATCATTTCTTAATACATAATTTACAAGCAGTGCAAGGGAGGTAATCAAACAGTGTTCTTTAATTTGAATTGGATTACCTCCCTTACACTGCTTTTAAATTGTCTCAATTGTCCTTTAACCAGAAAAACCCTTGTTTTTCACCTTTTTTTGCCCCTAATTACTAAATGGTTTGAGCCATAACCCCCCAAAGTCAATCCTAACCATCCCTTTGTTGTATGGAAGTTTGTGGTATAATTTCAGAGAGATTCATACACTTTAACACAAGTTATTGTCTGGAAACTAGAAAAATGCTTATTTGGGCCCCTTTTTTGGCCCCTAATTCCTAAACAGTTGGGACCATAACCCCCAAAATCAATCCCAACCTTCCTTTAGTGGTTATAAACCTTGTGTTAAAATTTTATTGATTTCTATTTACTTATACTAAAAGTTATTATCCGGAAACCATCTGTCTTCCGACGATGCTGACGACGACATACCAATATACGACCAAAATCTTTTTAATTTTGGCGGTCGTATAAAAAAAAGTTTTAATTTTTGCGGTCCTATAAAAAAAAATTTTAATTTTTGTGGTCGTATAAATATTTTTTTTAATTTTTGCGGTCGTATAAAAATCATTCAATTATGGTTGTGGCCTGTTATCTATTTTACCCATGAAATTTGTAAATGTTAAAATATTTGACTGCCAAAAAGTTCACTTATCTGTAAAATAGACATTTTTTTTAAATCAACATTTCTTCTTCAAATGTTATTTCTAGGTCTTCGTTTCTGTCCAAGTTTCATAACAATCTATGGAGGATTAACAAAGTTATCATATTTTTAATCCAGACTGTATGTTAATGTCAAATGCAAAGGACTAAGTCCATCTCTCAGTAAAATACTGAATAAAAAAAAAACATATTTTCAACATCAAATCCATGTAGATTTGACAAAGTTACAGATGACAGAAAAAACTGCATCTCCATGTAACATCCTTTTATCATTAAATTACTGAAAAGACATTTTTTTGGAATTTGCTCTGGATACTGTCTTTTTATCTTACAAAAGCTTATTTTGAAAATTTCATAAATTCTATGAAGGTTTGACAAATTTATTGATGCCTAAAAAAACCTTAATGACAAACTGATCATTAATGCTGATCAAAATGTGGAATTGCTATGTTTCGCTTCTGCAACAAAATTTCACAGGCCCAATTAAAGTGTATTAACTTGGTTGGCCTACCCGGCAATGTTATATGAAATTAGGACATTTCCATTTGTTATTCAAGGTCACAACAGACTACTTTTCCTCTGAGGCAACAGAGATATGTGATTTCTTCAATAATATACAAAACACTCCCATTTTCCCCAGAAAATCTTTCTGTTGTCAAAAATGATTTCATTCTCAAGTGTACAAAAAGCTTAAAAAGCATCTGATGTTAATATCTGATGCTAGAAGTGGACCTATGAGGTCAAACTGATTAGGTGCAAAAAATGAGAACAAGGCTTCATAGAATTTTTTATTTGCCACAAAGAGAATATGTGAAACATCTTTTTAGAATTGATACTGCTTGATATCAAAGGCTTGTTGATTAATATATTGATTAAGTCACTCAGGTTGATATCATGCCATATCTAATTCTCACACGTTATGAAACTTATAATTAGAAAATTCTATCATTGGATGACAGAGATTCAGTGATAGAAAGATTAATACATATCATGATGTTTGTGGAGGAAATTCAATATCGTTGTTTCCATTAAATTTGTCTTGGACTGTAAATCATTTTGTCTAGACTATGAAATGGAACTATTAATATTCATGAGCTACCTTCTTTTTATTGTATTCCCGTTACACAATACAATGATAAAAACCTACTTTTTCTACATGTTTCAATTGCTGAAGTTCTGTTAAGATTTCTGTTGAAGCCGTTTTCTCTTGTTCTAATGTTTTCTGTAAGGTGGCCCTCCATTCTTTTTCTATCCTTAAATCTGTCTCTAATGCAGTACTGAAAAGAGAGAGAAAAAGAGTTTTATAAAATGATAAGATCAGTATTTTGCTCTTTAGTAAAAGTAAAATAACATAAATAATTGATAACAAAAGACACAAACTGGATACAATAACACAATATTACATGACCACATGACCACATGATGAAGGATCTTTAGAAATGGATTAGTAACTGATTGACTGTCATGGTTCAACACATTACAGCAAAGATTAGTTACATCATAATTATCGAAAAGAAAAAAGTAAGATAACAAAAATACCGAACTCCAAGGAAAATTTAAAGCGGAAAATCCTTTATAAAATGGCAAAATCAAAAGCTCAAACACATCAAACGAATGGAAAACAACTGTCATACTCCTGACTTGGTACAGGCATTTCCTTATGTAGAAAATAGTGGATTGAACCTGGTTTTATAGCTAGTTAAACCTCTCACTTGTATGACAGTCGCATAGAATTCTATTATATTGACAACAATGTGTGAGCAAAACAAACAGACATAATAGGTAAAAATGTCAAAAATTGGGGTACAGCAGTCATCATTGTGTTATAATCTTAATCACTATAAAAACAAACAAATATGTCAATAAATAAAAACAAAATGGCATATAAACAAAGTACATAAGCAAAAATGAAAGACAAGAATACAAAAAATGACCATAGCACAATAACACAAAAGATCTTTGACAGATTTATCTAAAATAGTTCAATTCAGCAGTAAAAATAAACTTAAAAGGAATTAAATATATTCACTTGATTGGATAAGGATTAAATGCCATCGTAATACTGTATATTTTTGTTTCATGTCTTTTATTATAACACTTTTACCTTTTTGAGATCATTTACCCATGAGGTGAAGAATTAGTCAAAATTAATGTATTTTTGGGGTCCTCAAATATTTCTTGATCTCATAACATAAATAATAATAGACACGAAAGGTATAAACAACAAATCTCAACAAACTCTGTTTGGGAGACTTGATCTAGAACTGGGACATACACAGTGTTTTTTCTCTCTCTCTCTCTCTCTCTCTCGATCAAGTATTTACAATAATTGGCCCATATAGAAAGGGTGAATATCCAAAACTGACAAACCTAAAAAGTTTTTTCACTTCAGACTGCGCCCTCAGAGAAATAATCTTTTCTGGTTGACAATTCTGGAAATCATGATAATAATGAAAGAAATATGTTTATTAGATTATAACCTTACTTAATATGAAACCATAGAATCTTGTGGTCACTCCAATAATTTTCCAGAAACCCACTTTCAAACGGTTGTTGTCTTGTGATATATGCATTGTGAAATTAGAACTTGACCTTCTTTAAGTCACAGGAAACAACATATCTAAATTTGAAAAGATTTCTTCAAAGCGTTTTCATGTTATTGCACGTACACTGTTTGGCAACTGCCTGCCTGGCCGCGGTACATCACCAAATTAATAACCGATATTTTCCTTTGGAAACCCGGTTAAAAATGAAAAATACCATATAATAATCAAAATAATAAATAAATGATATAGTAGTTTATTCAACTGTTAATTAATAAGGTTTGATTGACATAGCGTGTTCCCCCTTGGAAATTGCTGTTCTCATCTAATTGGGGAAAAAATTGACAACTTTTTGACTAAAATTGATGATGGTTACTTTAGTTTGTCAAAATTATATTGTTCGGCATGTACTTTTTCCATTGGGAATTTTGTCATAATTTTGCATCCAAGAATAAACAGGAAAAGTACAAATATCCAGTAATAATGTAATTCATTACAAATGATACTTCAAAATGAGCAAATTAAACAGAGGCTCCCCCTGGGAGGTTACAAAGAGACAGAGTATCCCTTAATTTGGCTTCTATGCATTGCTGTCAAAATATGAACGATTGCTTGATAGTGTTAATAATATTATTGGTGCTAACCAACATTCTTCCAAAAGAGAAACATCAACGTAAAATCCAAGATGATGGCTATATTTTAGTGGCAGCAGAAGTTATCAAACATAAATCTTAAAGAGGATCATAAGTGTATCATTTATCCCAAAGTTTGGTAAGAATTATTTCTTTACAAATTTCTTTTAATGAATATTTTTGTTGAATTTAATTATCAGTAATTGTTGCAGTCATGTTTGTTGAAAGTTATGTTAATCCACCAAAGTTTCTCAATCTTTGGGTGTATTTTTTTTACCTTAAATCTAGTACCTATTTTCTGTTTGTGAGATTTAATATTTTTTTTTTTGTCAAATTTTCTATTTTAGTAGTACAATAGGCCATGTTAAAGGATGTTGGGTTCATCAACTTTAATTCTTTAATGGATCTCATGTGTATTAACAACTTAATGTTGGTAATAAATGGCTCTACACAAGATTTAAATAAATGGGGAATGTGTCCATTGGACACAGATGATGCACCTGCTTGCATATTATATAAAGTTATAAAGGGACATAACTGAAGAATGGTAAAAGTGATGCTACTGCAATTTGTACTTGATCTGAGTTTTGTGGTCATTTGGTTGAGGCAAACTAAAGTTAGTGAAAGGAAACGAAAAATTCAGCAATTTTTCCATTTGTATATATAAAGGGGCATAACTCTAGAACAGTACAAGTGACGCCACCAAAATTCAAACTTGATCTGTGTTTTGTGGTAATAAGCATTGTGTATAAGTTTCATAACATTTAGTTGAAGCAAACTAAAGTTAGAGAACGGAAACCAATTTTGGGACATACAGACGTACGGACGTACAGACGGACAAGAGTAAAACTTAATGCCCCCTCCGCTACGGCTGGGGCATAAAAATGCCATCTTAAATGACCTGACAACAGTATCGTAACTATATCTCTTCTGAATAAGTCTGTTTAAAGGTTTGTTTGAAGACCGTTTGAAGAAGGGATGTCAACTCAGTGAAGATTTACATAATTAATCACTCATTGGTTTTACTAAGAAGTACTTGCTCTGTAAAATATAAACAAAATGGAAACACAATTTAACTCGTATATTTATGCTCTTATAGAAGTTAAACTGTAAACATTATTATCTGGGTAAAGAAAATAGTCCCAAGAACTATATACTATAATTTATAGGTCATTTACTACATCAACTTATTGAGTAAATATTAAAATAATCAATAATTTAAACAAATGAGCTGTGTCAAGATAGAAATCTACAGGTGCACATATACGTGTAAATATATAAAACTTTGATTGATTTGGAGTATTCAAATACGAAATGAAAGATGAATTTATGTTTACTTTGTAGTGTTCTAATATCAACTCAATTTTCAAACAGTAACAGACTGCATAGAGATTTACCAACCAAAATAGGTTAACAGATGTATTGATATTCATTTGCATAAGGTCGATTTCTATCTGACACTGCTCATATATATATTGCTTATGATTATATGATTACAATGTAAAAGTAAAACAACAGCTACATTTTGTAATCATAAAGACAATGCATAAACAAAGTCATGAGGAACTGTGCTTTATTTATACTATGGTCTCTAAATTCAGTTGTTAGATATGTGGTTTTTTGTTCTACACATTTTACAATCACCTTCAATCTTATTTCAGTAAGATAGATAAATTCCATGATTGATTTATTGATTGATGGTGTTCATACTGTTTAACACCACTTTTAGCACTCTCAGCTATATTGTGGCATCCTGTTTTTTTTGGTGGATGAAGCCAGAGTGCCTGGAGAAAACTACAACCTTTGGCAGGAAAAATGGATGATTTCCAAGAGTTGCAATTTCACATCAATGTTTATTTACTAAATATAATTTTTATATTAGTTTTTGTCCCTGAACTTAAGGATGTTCGCTCCTCCTGTTTTTGAGTTTTTGCCAGATATTCGGAATCCTCTGGTTTTATCCATGTAGTGCCATTAAAAATTTTGCTCGCGAATCCCTACTTTTTTTTTCATAATTTTATTACATATAGTTTAAAAAGCAATATTTCAAAATCTTATAAAACCCTTGTTATTTTTTCATAGTTTTTTAAAGAAAAAAGGTGCCAATGTTAAATGTATGTAAAATCTAGAGAGAATAATTTCCTGCCAAATTTTCAATGGCTTATATCTTGAAAACAAGCACACGGACCCTTCATTTTTTTTCTGCTTTTTTAGTTCTTTTTTTTATATACTTTCAATTTATAACAGTCTTTTAAAAAGCTTGTTATTTTGAAACGGAGTAGTGAACTTCCTTAAGCATTTTAAAGTCATTTGGAAAATATAATGCTATGTCATAACTATAAGGAAATCAGATAAAATAAAATGTAAAAAAAAAAAACAATAAAATAAAGCATCGTTTATGTCAACCAAAAACAAATTATCAAACTATCATTTGGAATATCAACAAAAAGTTACAACACAAAACAAAATTTTTATTTTAATAAAATCTAACTGGAGACAACATTTAAGTGCCAGTCTTTGTAAGAATCAGGCAATTTAGAAAAATTTCAAAACATGATCGAAAAAAAACACCTACCTGACCATCCTATTTTGAAGTTACCCTCATCCTGAGTTAGAAATGGTAGGTCTTTTGTTTCTGCGTGTCTTGTAATTCCAGAAATATCTAGATCATTTTTGGTTAGAATGATCGCAAATTAAAGAGTTAGCTCCCCTTAATTTTTAATTTCTAGGGCATTTTAACCAAATTATATCTTTAATTACCAGAACAGGAAAAGGAAACGGATGTTATATTCGTGTACCGTTATACAATTTGAACATAAATGAAAGTCAACTTGAGTGGGTTTTTGTTTGTCATGGTTTCACCACTCCCTGATTCTGCAGCAGATTGGCACATAAATCAGATGAATTCTAAGTATGTAATCAAGGTCTTACCGTTTTGTATCTTTTTCAGCAATTATTTGACCTAATTTCCTAGCTGTTTCTTCTGCTGCTAATTTATCAGATTCACATTGCTTTAATCTGTTGCCATAGTAACAATGATACACACAACATGCAAAAGAAAGAAAAACAAACAAAATAAAATTACTAAAGCAAAATTATGCAAAGTTAAAGCAAATATTAAAACAATTTTACTCTTTCAAATAAAATAAACTGTTGACACAGAGATATGTCTCGCCTTTATGTAATTTTGTTTGTATAATGCAAATGTTGAAATGAATATGGCAATACTTTAACATGGAAAATATGCAAATTATTCAATGTCAATGAACTATGATTAAAGGTGCAGGGCTTTATAAACTTCATGGAAATGAAAATGTAAATAGTATTACAACTGCATACCAAATACCAGTGACTTATCAAAAGTGGTTCGATTTTACTGGCCTAAACACAAACTTTAACATGTGAATCATGCAAAAGTTTCAAAGTCAACAGATGATGACTGAGAGGGCGTGACAAAATAATCCCCATGATAATGAGATGTGGCAATGCTTATACAACTGCAAAATATATATTACCTACCACTAGCGGTTCCCCTTAAGGGCATACATTACAGTTACAGGGAAGGTAATGAAGTCACTAACGTAAAATGTTATTTTTCGCGAAGTCAATCTGTGACATATCGGGAAAAAATGCATTTTCCGACTGATTTTATATCATTCAGACTGATTTTGTTTATTTTTTGAAACAAAAAGTTAGATATGTCTTTCCAAAGGATAGAATTGGCCAAGAAACCAAAATTTCCAGTAAATGTCCCAAATTTAAACACCATTTATCTCTAAAAGTAGCACATGAAGGTATATTTTTTATTTCATATTTGAACTGACTAGGTGAAAAATAACTTGTATGCAAACTTTCGGCAAAAATTCACTGTGGGATCAAAACTGTATCGTATGCCCTAAAACTGATGTAATCACAAATTAAAACATTATTCATGCTGTCACCAATGCTGATACTACAGGAAACAGATTGCCTAAGTCTTGCTTTTACGACTTTGTTGAGGCGAGACAATAAATCTGCATTGTACATGTTGTAGTTAAGTTTTGCTTTTGATAGTTGATATCTTATTCATTAAAAAATAGTACATGGAATGGGGTTAAAAACAAAATCTTGTTAAATGACATTATTTTTAGCTCATATGTAAAATGTCTTCAAAGATACCACCCTTATATTTCAATTTGACAAATGCATGTCTTGCCTGTATAGAACACATTAGTTGAGCTCTTATTGAAACAGATTGAAGGCAAAAATCTGAATGACAAAGTAACACAGAAATTAACTTTTTATTTTGAGGTACAATATACTAATCACATTGACAATATTCTGGTGATGTCATGCCATGAAATTTTATACAATGTATGTACGAAAAATGTAACATATGAAATTTTAATTATTGTTTGAGAAAATGTTTAAATTTTTGGAAAAGTTAAAAACTACAATTTTGTCAAGAAATGCCACAAAAGATATATAGCATAGGAATTTAAAGTATGCCATTTTTTTTACTTCATAAAAATCTTCAGAATTATGTAAACTAGTTTAAATATTTTTTCTAGAGGTTATTGATGTGTTAACATGGCCGATGCACTCACATACTGAATAAAAGTCTCAACACTCCTTATTACTCTCAACTGAAACAATAGTAGTTTTTTTTCTTAAAATGTCATCTTCCATGTAATACAACATTCAATTCATGTGTACCCTGCATGAATATATCACAGTGAAATCAACATTGTTTACACAGGTCTGAAAGAAGTTATAGCAACAAGGTATTTCAAAGTGTAAACCAAGGAAACAATTGCAAACAGTCCAATAACAAACTAGTATTTATAGATTTGCATTATCACATAAGATTTATAAAGAATTAACCAACGTATTTCCAGTTTAAATTACACGAATGTAAGACATCCTTTTCTTGAAGGGAAGGGTTTTTATTTTTAAGAGTCAAGCTTAAAAGCTGAACCTGTAAACAATAGAAATAAATAATAAATCTCTCTAACTTAAACTTTAAACATATGCAATATGTATATATATTTTTGTACTGGTTAAAGAATATTAAAATATGTAAACAATAAAATACAACAGGATTCAACAATAATCTATATATCTATAAACAAAATGATGTGTGGATATATAAATAAGAAGATGTGGTATGAGTGCCAATGAGACAACTCTCCATCCAAGTCACAATGTGTAGAAAGTACTTGTAAGTCAATGAAATGTCAATCTTAAAAACAAAAACAAAAACACAAAAAACTTCATTTCTCGTAAAGAAAGATCACACTACAGATTCATTATTATTCCTTGGAGACCGATTTAAATGGATTCCTTATGTACAGGTCAATTACAAAGTATACATTTTCTATAGGCTTGTATGCAGACTTTGACAAAACAACGAAATTAAATATTCACGAAAATGTAAATATTCCTCAATCCATGAAAATTGGTACCCATGAAAGTAAATGAAAAAACAGTACATTGAAAGAATAAATGGAAAATGTGTCCATGGGACACCGATGATGTCCCAGCTTGCATATAAGGTTATAAAGGGACATAACTAGAGAACTGTAAAAGTGACGCTACCTGAATTCAAACTTGATCTATGTTTTAATCTATGTATAAGTTTCATGACATTTGGTTGAGGCAAACTTATGTTAGAGTATTTTGGACGTATGTATGTATGGACAAGGATAACGCTTAAACATTGGCATAGTCCAATGAAAGTACTTAATCTTCCTTAGGTTATTGCATTAAGATATTATTTATCAAAAGTTATCTAGAAAGAAAGATGAAAAAACTGGTTTTAAAGAAAGTTTTCTTGAAATAAATTGATAAAATTTGTCAAAGTTTAATTTCAGTACTATCCTTGACAGTAGAAGGCTGGCTTTCAGGCCATAAAATCATTTGTCATTGTTCTGATTCTAGAACAAATCTCATTTTGAAAAATTCATTCAAGAAAAAGACTCAGTGCTTCAAGTATAACATAATACATCATCTGATTGTTAATTTCTATCCAAATCCATCATCTATATAGTGTTTTCTGAGATCCTCTATCATCAGCAACTCATCTATAATTATTTCCCCTGATTACAATGTCAAATTTAAGTACAGACATTGTGAATTAGATAATAATTTTCAAATATAAATTTAATATAAATTGAAGGAAACTTTTGAATAAATGCAAAGCAGTTTTTCTGCAAAAGTGACACTAAATTTTGGTTGTTTAAATGAGTAAACTGGATTTATAATTTAATTTTTTCTGCAATAGTGACACTAAATTTTGGTTTTTTAAATGAGTAAACTGGATTTATAATTTAAAATTAATTCTATTTAAACCACTTAAATGTATTTTTTCATCTATCTAAAAAAAGTTAAATCTTAGGACAAAAAAGTTACTAAAGAAGAAAATGATTCAAAAGAAGCTATTGTAGAAAAAGCATTTGACCATAGGTGGGTATTTCAATTTCATAAACAAAAATTATTGAACCAGGTTAAGCACAGATTGCAAAACAGTGAAATGTACAGTACACCAGTTGCAATTTTCGGTACATATTCCTTTGCCAAGTCCCTTTTTGGTCCCTTAAATGATATAAACAGTTGACAAAAAGGTATGTCTCTCCTGTATGTAGTTTTGATAGTATAACACAAATGTTAAAAATGCGCTCCGCTTCAAGCAGCTGGATACGACTGCAGAGGTCGAACTCTGAACAGTTGGGGCAAGTATGGACACAATATTCAAGCTCTGAATTTGGATAGTGATTAAATATTTGACACATTATAGATTTCTGACACAGAATAAATGTGGTCAGATAACTTAAAAATTTGAAATGGGACATTTAATCTACTTAATGGTCCAATATCCAAAATCTAATTCCATGGTTAGATTCAGCATATAAAAGAGAAAAAAAACATGAATTCAAACAAAGTTTAATTTTGGACCCTTTGGACCTTAATATGGACTAATTTGAAAACAAGGCCAAAAATTGACAATCTGAATGCACAGTTAGATTCAGCATATCATAGAACCACCAGAATTCAGTTTTTGATGAAATAAAACAAAGTCTTATTTTAGACCCTATGGACCTCAATGTAGACCTATTAAAAATGTCCAAATATCCAATACAGTAATACATGGTGAAAACCTCTAACAATTCAAGACTTTAAATTAATTTGTTAAAAGATTTGTATTACCCGGTATTTTCAATTGAAGATTTCTTGCTGTTGTGCAATACTTAGTAAATCTGTTTACAAACTAAATATAATAATTTACACACCCTGTTTGGTGTGTATCTCCTGCCATATCAGTATTTGTTGTTTCTTTATATAGATCAGAAATAATTTATGTTAGAACCAGCTTACCATCATTGTCATGAAAATTGTTTGGACTGGTATTGTGAAAATAATTGTATATAGTTCGAGACTGCATGTTCGTTACGTAAGTGCGTCACTGTTTGTGATGTCCTGTCGTTGATGGAAGATGTTCGCTGTTGTTCTGGGGTTTGCATGTTGTGTCGACTATTATATTATTTGTTTGTGCTTTTCTCTGTGATGAGTGTTTGTGCTGTATTTCTGTCACATAGTGTTGTCATTTTAGCAATATATTTTTTAACACTGCCATGTAAGCGGGAGGTTTGGCTAGCCATGAAACCAGGTTCAACCCACCATTTTTTCTTAAAATGTCCTGTACCAAGTCAAGAATATGGCAGTTGTTATCAAATAGTTTGTTTCTATGTATGTTGGCGTTGGTTTTTATTGCACTTCAGTGTTCCTGTTGTTTCTTTGTTTTCCTCTTATAGTTGATGTGTTTCCCTCGGTTTTAGTTTGTAACCCGGATTTGTTTTCTCTCAAAGGATTTATGACTTTTGAACACCGGTATACTACTGTTGCCTTTATTTAGCCGTCTTGTTTTTGGCCCCTATTTGGCCTCTAGTTTCTTAACGATTAAAGCCACACCCACAAAATCGATCCCAACCTTCTGTGTGTGATATGGAACCTTGTGGTTCAATTTCATAGAGATCCATTGACTTATACTTAAAAATATGTCCGGACACCAGAAAAACCTTGTTCTTCTCCCCCCCCTTTTTGCCCCTTGTTCCTGAACGGTTTGAGCCATAACCCCCAAAGTCAAACCCAATCTTACCTTTGTGGTATGGAACATTATGTTTCAATTTCATAGAGATCCATAGACTAATACTTATGTAATTGTCCATTAACCAGAAAAACTTGTTTTACACCCCTTTTTTTGCCCCTAATTCCTGAACGGTAGGGCCATTAACCCTAAAGTCAATCTCAATCTTTCCTTTGTGGTATAGAGCCTTGTGGTACAATTTCATAGAGATCCATACACTTAAACACAAGTAAATATTGTCCGGAAACTAGAAAATGCCTTTTTTTGCCCTTTTTGACCCCTTATTCCTAAACAGTTGGGACCATAACCCTAAAATCAATCCCAACCTTCCTTTTGAGCTATTGAACCTTGTGATTAAATTTCATAGAGATCCATTTACTTATACTAAAGTTATTGTCTGGAAACCAAATGTCTTCGGATGACAACATGATAGCAATATACGAATGCAAATTTTTTGCGGTCGTATAAAAATTAAAATAACAAGACTTTAACATGTAAACTATGCAAAAGTCTCAAAGTCAATGCACCATGACCGAGGGTTGGGGCTATAAAATCTCCATGGAAATGAGATGTACAAATGCTAATACAACTACATACCAAGCAAGTCCCATTGACTTCTTTTAGTGAATCCCTTTAGACAGATTATAAGTATTAGAAATCATTCTAAAAACATCCTAAAATTACAAATTATTAGGCTTTCAAGCATCAGAAATGATTTATTTGTATTTTGTCTGAAATATTTCCTTTAAGCTTAAAACTTTTTGCACTGAAGAAAAATGACACTTATTACAAATAAAAAATATAAAATTAAGGAGATGTGGTATGATTGCCAATGAAACAACTATCCACAAGAGTTCAAATGAAGTTGATGTAAGCAAAAAAGATTATTTGGTCGCAATTTCTGATCATTTTGGTGTGATGTAATATCACAAGTGTGGGAAAGAACATTTTATTCATTTAGTGCATCCATTTGTTGTCAAAGATCATGAAATATTATATTGTGTCTGGTCAGTTCATTTAAGGATGTACATACTAGGTGAAATTAAAAAAAAAATAGAATTTAAAATTGATACTATAAGTTAGAAGAGCATTAGTTAAGGAACAAAATAAGCTAAAAATATTGATAGGTTATGGATCTCCTTTTGAGATATTTAATTTATATAAAATGGCAGGAAAAGGCTGGCTCGGACTTTTACCTTATATTTGCATTGGTATTATTTGGGTCTCAAATCGAAAGAAAAGAAATCTAGAATCTGCTTAAATTTTGGTAAATGACCTTTTATGAGCTATTGAAGTCTTATATGAAAAGAAAAATGGGTGTTATGGGGCAAAATATTTTACCCTGTATTGTAGGAAAAAAACCAAGTAATTTGAACATCTGACAAAAATTCCTAAACCTGACCTAAGTACATCCTTAATGCATTTATATTGACTGATTGGTCAGTTCATTTAGACCATTTGCATTGAATACACTGTCTTTGGTTATCTTTTGTGAAAGAACAAAGGTAATATTTTCAGATAAAAAAGACTTTTGTTTTTAACTAAAAACCCGCCCACTTGCCTCCAATTTCCAGCCATTAATTTGAGTGTTAATTGAATCATTTATTTCCAGTTATCATTTATTTTCAAGACTTTGCAACAGATTGGGTACTTTGTACATTTTGTATGGTATTTTCAGGCCCACTGTTATTTTGTTTTTTCTTTCCAGTCTTTATAAGTGCTTATAATAAAAAAGCCTTATTGAAACATTCATTTTATTGATCAATTGATTGTTGTTTTAGTACGTTTATCCCATAGGTTTTCAAAACAGACTATGTACTCTATTTATTTGGCGGCAATCTGATTAAAATACAAATCCTGTGTTCAAGCTTTGCTAACAAGGATCTGACAACACTCAGTTTTACTTTCTGTTCTGGTTAATATTGCAACAGCCAATGAAATTTCAGCCTTCAAATTTTTGAAGCCAGAAAGTACTGGAAATGTGAAGATATGATTGAAGCTTTAAATTTTCTCCTGGACAACATATATGTATGTTTCGGCAATAAAGTGTTTTGACAAGTAGTAGGTATTCCTATGGGCACTAACTCGCCCCTTTAATAGCAAATTTATTCCTGTATTGCTATGAATATCAGTTTATGACCTAACTCAGTAAAGACACGTCATTGTTACATTGGTTGATACATTCAACAATACCTACCGTTAGTTGGATGATATTTTTTCGTTAAATAATCCTGAGTTCTCTAAATATACTACCGAAATTTACCCAAAAGAACTTACTTTTAACTAAATCTAACATAAACAGCAGTAGCTGTCCTTTTCTAGATTTAGACATTTCAATTTCTAAAGGGAAACTCCATACTAAAATTTACGATAAAAGGGACGATTTTTTCATTCCTTATTGTTAATTTTCCTTTTTTAGAAGGCAGTGTTCCTTTGGCTCCATCATACGGTGTTTATATATCCCAACTTGTTCATTATGCCCTTGTGTGTAGTGATGTCATAGATTTTAACGAACATAATCAATGCATCACTGGTAAATTATTAAGTCAGGGATTTCATTACCATAAATTACTTAAAACTTTTACTAAATTCTTTCATAGATACAAAGATTTGATTAGTAAATTTGGCTGTACCTGTAGCAAACTTATTAAAAACGGTATTTCACATCCTAAATTTTACAGTAATATTGTACTAAAAGTGCGGAAATTACTATGTGATCCGTGTAAACTCATCGAACCTTTAAACAAACTTATTAGTAAAGGTTATCTTACCAATGTTGTAATTAGATCTTTGAATATAGTTTACATTGGCACTAATATTGATTTTGTCATCAGCAAATTAAAACATAACTAAATTTGTATTCTTTTTAAACGGGATGTATAAAGACACACCCACCTTCATTTTTATCTATTAAGAGTTAAACTCCTAACTATCCTACTACCTGTCGATACATTTATTTTTGGCATTGTACAAGTCAAGCTTTTTTGTTATTTAATGTTTACTTATTCAGGGTTATATCTGGTCTATATACCAGCTTTGACACGTGTTTGGTATTACTATAAATTTTCACTTCTTCAAACTATGAACATCAAAATTATTTATTTTGTAAAAATATTTCCTTTCTCCTTTTAAACTGTATACCTAACAACACAATTATTTTCATTTACCTGTGTATAATATTATTGTAAATGGCGGATTTTTGTTTAAGGTTATTGTTGTTTTTCTGAAATTGTTTAACATTTCACAGCGGTATAATACTATTACTTTAATTATTCATCCCTTATTTTAATGATTTTGTATTTACATTGTATCATAGATCAAATTTATTTGTTCAGTGTATGTTCACTTGTGTTAATATGTCTTTTGATTGAGTTAAGCCATTTCAATTGATATTTTATAGTGTGTCTTTCTATGTTGTGATGTTACACTATTGTTTCAGATAAGGGTGAAGGTTTGGTACCATTAAAACGTTTAAACCCACTGCAATTGTTTGCACCTGTCCTAAGTCAGGAATCTGATGTTCAGTAGTTGTCGTTTGTTGATGTGGTTCATAAGTGTTTCTCGTTTCTCGTTTTTTATATAGATTAGACAGATGGTTTTCCTGTTTGAATGGTTTGACACTAGTAATTTTTGGGGCCCTTTATAGCTTGCTGTGCGGTGTGAGCCAAGGCTCCGAGTTGAAGACCGTACTTTGACCTATAATGGGTTACTTTTATAAATTGTGACTTGGATGGAGAGTTGTCTCATTGGCACTCATACCACATCTTCTTATATCTAATTAGTCAGAAAAATATGGAGGATACAGAAAAGTCGTTAAAACAGAAAGTAGAATGAAGTGTTTTCAGATCTTTGTAAGCTTAGCTTGGATACAGGATCTGTATTTTAATTAGATTGATTTGGTTTGGGAATTAATGGAACTCAACTTTTACTTATTGGTATTTTTATACTGTCTGTATTTGCCTCAGGGCTTGTGGCATTTTTTTCAACCACGCAAATTCAGAGATCAAATAAAATGTCTCTTTTTTCATACCTCCTTCTCCACTTGCCGAGCTTTCAAGTTGGCAGTTTTCATTGACAATACAAACTGCATGAAAATTGTAACCCCACGAATAAATGTTGATTCTAACAGCAAATAATGGAGTTGAAAATTTCTGCTAACCTTTTCTCCATATCTTTTAAGGTTTGGACTAGTTGATTAGTTTTCTCTTCTAGCTTGGTTACCAGTTCTGTTTTATGCTTTAATGACTGATCACAGTTCTGAAAAAAAAATCATAAAAAATGTTAAATACTGTAAATTCAGAAATATTTGCATGCATTTTTCATTGTGATTATCGAAGAATGAACATTGGATGGAGAGTTGTCTCATTGGCACTCATACCACATCTTCTTATATCTATTGGATGGAGAGTTGTCTCATTGGCACTCATACCACATCTTCTTATATCTAATTAATATGGGATTATTATTGTGCTTTTAGGAAATGCTGCTGAGAAACATCTTTATTAAAAATTAAAAATGCAATGTTTTATTCTTGCCAAAACCTAGCTATCATGTTGGAATTTTTGGAACTTTCTTGGAATCTTGTGTATTGTGCATGAATATATCACAGCAAAATCAACATAGTGTTGTGTTTACTTAGGTTACGAAAGTAGTTTTGGCAAAGCGTAAACCAAATTAAAAATTATAACACACCAATCGCATTCAGGTAGTTCTATTTATGCAAATGATAATAGAATCATTTTGTCATCTTGTCAAGTATTTTGAGAAATTTCTTTTCCTAAAACAGGTATTAAACCAAAGCTTCTCTTATTACCAAAGTAAATATTTTAAACATTACGTTGATCTAGAACTGTCAGAATAAGGTAATTATAAATCTCTTGTATGGAAAGGTAATATATGATCCAATAGTTCTAATTTTGTCAAGATTAACGTCTATTTATGTGTGTGTGTAGGGAAGGGGGCATGTTTTTTTTTTAAATAGATTGTTTGATTCTGAATTTAAAAAAAAAAAATAATTTGTATTAGAATGGAAGAAAAAATAGTTTGTTCCTAATGAAAATTAGATAAAAAAAATTATTAGAGCTATTTTCCTAATGCTTGTAGATTAAGACTTTGGTTGGCTTAATGCTTGCTTTGTTTGTATAAATTTTTGCTCAAGCATTGTAATTAAGATTGACATCTGCAAACAATATAAATAGGCAGAATTAAACCTGTTTATCAATTGATCAAATTTAACTATAATGTATGCAGGTTTAACTGACTGCCTATTTATATTTTTTGCAGATGTCAATCTTAATTATAATGCTTGAGCAAACATTTACACAAACAAAGCAAGCAAGCCAACCAAATCTTAATCTACAAGCTTTAGGAAATTAGCTCTAAAAACAAATTCTTGTTTTTCTATGTTTATATTGGAAAAAAAAATAGTTTAGTTGAAATAAACTTGTTTGTTTCAAGAAAATACCCATGCTCCCCAGCAACACATGAATCAGTGACAAATATACAAACATACACATCATCATGATATATCATCTCAGGCAAGCCTAACTTAGTCTCCATTTGTAATATGAGCAATAATACAATTTTCAAAAGTTTTGAAGTGGGGTAAGAAGGTGCTTTCATTTACTTTTGAAAAGCTTTTCTGTTAAGGAGCCAATCCTATATATTGAATATGACACAAGAAGCATCAGACATTTTAAAGATAAAAATTTTTAAGAAGTGTAAATACTTATTCAGGTAAACAATTAAATCTCAATACAAAAGACCTTGAGAGACATGACCTTTTCAGGAACTATGAAGTTAGTTTTTTAAACCAAATGTTTTTCCAAAACAGACTGGTGTATTAATAGATAGGACAACACATAAAAGTACACAGAAAATCTACACAGGCACCAGACTTGACAAGTTATAATGATGTTCAAATTTCAAGATATTATTGTACTTTGATTGTTGTTTTTAATTTTTTTTTTTCACAGACATTGTTCTTTTGTTTAGTTCAAACTTTATACAGATTTTTTAAATTCTAAATTTAAATTACTTAAACTATTTAATTTACTACATACATGAAAAAAATGACAGCTTTACCAGCTTTATTGTATTTCTTAGATCACACTATATGACTAAATAAATGAGACAATATCAAAAGGATATCAATGACAACTTAAAGAAAAATTTGAGTCAATTGGGATGAAAATCGCAGCAAAGCAATCTGTCTTTTGAAATTGAAGCTGAAAATTTTTCTCTGTGAACAATTACTAGAAATATGATAATCTCTTCAAGGCTATTCAAACTTGTCGATAGACTTATTATTTTATTGAAAGAATAGATAAATTCAAATACAAAAAAAATAATTTCTATAGTAAGCATTATGTAGAGCAAAAATCTTTTATTTTTAACCTGAAAAATAACATTATATACTATTTGATCAAATCCATGTTAATCCTGATTTAATTTCCACATAATTTAGATGTTATAAAAATGTGGAGTTATTTGTACAGCAATTTCAGGAAATGCTCAAAGCCCCTTAATTAACAAATTTATATACTTTGAAACCGTTAGCATCAGCATTCTTATCACATGAATACATCTGAAAAAAGAATACTGTTTTTCGCTTATTGTTTTGAACACACATGTAAATCAAGCCGTTGGTTTTCTCCTTTGAATTGTTTCACATTTGTCATTTTCAGGCCTTTTATAGCTTGCTGTGCAGTATGGGTTTTACTCATCAAAAGTTATGAAGATTTAAGTATAACTTACAATCCATTTTAATTATAAAACATTTTGTGAGAAAAGCTCCTTTATTTTGTTGAGTTCTTGATTTTATTGATGATCCATTTGAATTTGGCAGAAGAAATCATTTAGAAGAATCTTAAAAATAGACAAGGTTTAAATGTCTTATGAAAATACACTCTTGTACCAAAATTAGAAAAATGACAATACCAATTGATAAGTCAACAACTAATACTATAAAAAAAAACATCTGCTGTAAAGGGACAGATGATCCATCTCATCATTCATTTCTAAGCACAAAATCAATAATGATCAATCAAATGTCCAAATGGAATATAGTTTGGTAATGTTATTATGGAATGGAATAGGAAATGTAGTAATTATTAATAGTAAGAGATGATTCCGATTCATCACAAGGCAGTGCTAATTGTGTTTTAGCATTACATAATTGAAACGAAAGGACATGGAATATCCATCCATGACACAAAGTCAGTACATGCACAGCAGAAAAAACAATAAGCAAAGTAACAGAGCTTTTATTGCTGTTCTTCATCTAAGTCACAGTGAGGCCTTCAACACAGAGCAAAAACTCTCACCTCACTGCAAGTTTAAGACGACCCCTAGCATGGTTTTGAGTGGAATTCTTTGCAAACTGAAGATCATGCCACACTTGTGAATTTAAGAAAAAAGCCATGGAGTAATAGCAATAAAATAAATCTGTCAAAGAAATCAAACATTTAAGTCAGGGTTAATTATCAACATCCCGGGTCCGTGACTGAATTAAAGTACCTATGCCTTATTTTTAGCCTGGATTTTTAGTATTCATATTGTTATGTGATAAAGTCATGCTGATTGTAAGGTGCATAGTTTTCTCGTTCTGTTTGAACCCGTCAGTTTGAATGTCCCTTTGGTATCCTTCTTCTCTCTTTTACATGTAACTTTTTATGTCATTATTTTTTCCGCTATCACGCTTAATTAATATTACTTCAACTAACAAAAGTTTCCATTTTGGTACAAAAATAACTGCAACAATAATTAATCCCGATCACTATCACCAGACAAAAATTTAGGCTGCATAATCAATAAACAATTGTATGGACTAATTGAATAATCAACCATTTAAGTAACTAACTATATATATATATAGGTAATGAGTGGTAGGAATGAGTCGATGAAATAGGTCACTATACTTTAAGCTTGATGATAATATATGATAAGGTTAAGAAATTTCAATTAAATATATGAGAAAATTGATGATCATATCTGAAATATTTCGTATTTTTAACAAATGCAATTAAAACCCAAGTCATAAATTCAAAATACATGTATATGAAAATGGAACTGGATGTCTCAGCTGCTCATCCCTACCACAAAATCCAATATGCATAAAAAGTGTAAAAAGCAGTAAGTGTTTTGTACATAATGACATCAAGTGAAGAATTCTACAACTGAGAAGTTAATCATAACAGAGGGATACTGGTCCTCATAATACATAAAAAATAGCAGGTCACAAATGGCACAGCACTAATGACCCTCTTTTTTGTTGTTATATTAAAAGACTTAAAGACTCTGTCAATGTTATGAAAAAAGATATATTGTACATCATTCATTTAACCAAGAAGAAATTCTGTGGAAAAATGAAGTTAAAATATGTTCAATGGCATAACTGCATACTTATGTATCTAATCAACAAAATCATTGATATCATGATCATGTTTTACATAATAAACATGACACATTCAATAAATCTGTATAAAATCATTTCCTGGTACTTATACCGTCTACAAGAAGTAGGCATTTTCATTCTTTTTCCTAAAAACAAAGTTTTAAAACATTTCTTAGATGCTCTAAGCATTGGGAAATGTAATGTTTTAAATTGCATAGATTGTTTTTGGCGACAATAATCAAGTTCCTTAAAGTATTATTTCAGGCAGACAGTATCATATTTTGCCATGAGATAGGGTAATGAATTTTTCAAAGTTCTTCAAACATCATCAGTAAGGAAATCTTGATGAATGAGAGCGTGGGAGATTTCCTTAAGAACCTGACAGTCCTATACTTATGTCACCTTGAAGGAAATTATTCCGTTCGTTTTCAGTCAAGCACTTCACGCCTTCAGGGTACATCAGTCTGTAAAACGTGCTTTATTGGTTAGACCACAAAACAAAAGAAATTTCTAATTATACTTAAACAATAATAATTATAAATATTTAATTGATTTGACTGGAGGACAGCAGTCTTACAATTTCTTGAATCATCTATCAATATGCTAGCAGGTGGTATCGATGCCTACTTATAATTAATCTTATAAAATAAACACCTTTGTTATGACTCTTCCTTTATTACTTGTGAATCTACAATAAGGGTAAGTCTAAAATTTCTACTAAGATCTTAAATTGACGTTTTTTTTCCTAATATATGAAGTATATTTTTTTCAATAGTTTTTTCAATTCAAACCAAAGATAAATATGAATTTCAGCCATTAACAACAATTATTTTGTAAATAACATATTTTTCACATTATATATATGGAAATATTATTGAAATTTTCAATTTTTATGCATCAACACAGAAAATTTATGTCACTAATTTGAAAAAGATAAAATGCGTTACTAATTTACTTTCGAAATAACTCCTACTGTTAATAATATTTCACCGATCTAATTATTAGGAGGAAAGCTGGATTCCTGCATCTATTTTTTGGTTAATATTTCGATAAAATTTTTTTGTTTAACTGATGGATTTTTTATGGTCATCTTCATCCTTTGAGGATCACTACTTTTTTGGGAGGCTATTTAAACAATTACAGAAATATTAGGTAAGCTATTAAAATTGTTCTAAAGTACAGGTTGGGTTAGAAAAATAAACTGTTATAATTTTTAAAAATCATACTAATGAGAAACAAAATGAACAATAGAATTTGAGGAGGAGACTTTAATTTTAAAATACCTTTAAATAAAAATATAAAATTTGTAGTCACAGATCTTGTTTTCGTGATACAAAGCAAACAAAGGCTGAGTCAATAATAAATGATTGGTTTAAAAGGGCATTAGGTATGAGATTGAACAAAAAAAATGATTTTTTTTGTTCAACCATTAATGAAAGTGAAATAGTGAAATAATAATTCGCTTTTAGCAGCCAGTTTGGTTCAATTTTGTCAAAATAAGCTAAGAAACATCGCTGATGAATTATTCACTTGCAAGTGAATAATTCGACCTCATTGACTACGTATAAACTAGGTATGTTCCGCTATTAAAAGGAAAAGAATGTCAACATTGAAAGTGAAACAATGGTAACCCATTTGGTTGACTGATTCGATACCCAAAAACTCATTCTTATACAGGTAAAAATGATGATTAGTACCTTTTTAAACCTATATGAAATCAAACAGACCTAGAAAAATTCAATTGCATGTGTTCGCTATCTATTTTATATCTATATTTATGTTTATGTTTATATTGGGTTATATGACCTTCGGCAGTCTTCGGAGGTCACCTCGATGGTAATTTAGATGGCGTCTAGACTAAAATACACACATAATGCTGATACATATTATTGAGTCCATGCATCCTAAATTGTTTATTTCAGACTTTTTATAATTTGGATATAGTTTTAGTATGTTATATATCAAATATGAGAATTTAAGTCAAATTGATGAACATGAATTTGACAGCTTATGCCTGTTTAATCTAACCATTAATAGAAAATCCTTTGAATTTAAAAATGAAAACGTCAATTTAAAAATATAGACACCTTTATCTTAAAAGGAATTAATGCAAATATATACTGCATTTATATTAAATAAGTTGAATAAAATTTTCAGTAAAAAATCTTTTACAATGTAAAACATTTGATCTCTAAGATGGCCCATAATCTTAAACTGGACAATTCAGAAAAGCAACATATTTCTTCTTGCAAATATACAGTAATTAAAACCATTACTGTAAACATATAGACTTTTTTAGAACTGATATCAATTAATTTTCATTTAATATAATATCATAATCATTTTACTTATCATAATCTGATTTTTTACAAAAAATCTTGATGATTCATTTGTTGATTTCAACCCCGATTGGCACCAAATTATGCTTAATTCTGACAGTATACTATTCAAAAGTCTAACCTTTCTAAAAAGGTACAGAGTTCTTTGCAGTATCATAAATTACGTGTCAACATGAAGCAATAATTGTTAATCGGGTCTTAAATACCCATACAGTAATTTGATTCCTTATCTTCCTTATTAAATATTTTCTCCTATCCAGGACATGTTCCAAATTCTATATCTCATTCTAGCCAATAGAGCTACATCATAAGACAACCAATTAGAACAGATATTTGTTAAGAAATAATTTCAAGATGGCATGCATAGTGAATGAAACTAATAACTTTGCACCTGATGTGAGGAAATAATATATAATGTCAGCTCAGACACCCATGACACTAATAAGTTTATAATGACTACTTTTTATTATAGGGCATAAAGTAACATGAAAGCTGCTATTGTAATAACTTTAGTTTGTTTGTTGTGTTATACAACATCACAAAGTTATCACTTCAGCAATGGATGGAACCCAGGAAAGAGATCATCACCACCCTGTAGTTTTAGTCCATATGTTAAGACCATGATATCTAAATTATTAGAGGTAAGTTTTTATTTAAGGTATACCGATTAAGAAAGGGTCACATAAAAAGGGGGAATGTCCCATATGACATGCACACTAAATAATCTGACAAAAATCCATGGTCAGTGTAATAAAAAATTGCAAATATTAAAAAATGTTCAACTCGTGACCAAACAATACTGATAATTAACTCATGCTTCTGTTGTTCAGTCAATGTAAATAGTTTTCTATTATCCATTTGTGGATTAGTTATTCTATAAATAACATTTATTCTTAAAATCAAAACAACTATTATAATCAACATATGTGTTAGAAAGTTTTAGAACTCAAAACATAATTTCAAACCTATGAAAAAAATACTTGAAGTAAATAAAACCTTCCGATCTGACCTGAGACAACCATTGACAAGACATGTGGTTGGATTGCACTAGTTTTTTGATATTTCAACCTTAAATTAACCTCATTTCAACCTAACCAATTTTAGTTTCAAGATCAATTAATCAAAACAACTATGACATTCAACATATCTATTAAAAAATCCAAAAAAAAAAGAAAAAAAACTCAACTCAAAACAACTGTAAATTGAGACATAAGCATGAAAAGTAAGTGTCTGAGAATTTATAATTTAAATATATCTACAGTGTTATGCCAAAAAATGAACTGACTTTGCTACTCACGTTGATGCCTAATTTTTACTTCAGAATGAAACACGCAGATTACAGAAATGTTCCAGATCAGTCATTCAAGAACCTGTAGAATATTTTCCAATGGTGAGTTTTCCATTTCTGAGTTATAAACATGAAAATCCTGGCTTTTCTTCCTCACAGTATTTCACTTTACAGAATGGCACAAGCTTTACACTTTCAAAAATGTTCAGATGAAACTTAACTAGAACTTATTAGCTAACGTTATTTTCTCTTAATTATTAAGTATTCTTATAGATTTTGCTTTTTAAAATAAATAGAGAATATTTTTTCATGATCAGATTAAAAAAACAAGAGTGCACACGCTGAAATGTCTCGCCTTCTTTACTAATCATTGATATTATGTTGATAGTCCTAAATATAAAGCTTTATTACAACTGTCACATAAACTTAACATTAACCAAGTAAACTAAACATTGACCAATGAACCATGAAAATGAGGTCAAGGTCAGATGAACCATGCTAGGCAGGCATGTACAGCTAACAATTCTTCCATACAACAAATATAGTTGACCTATTGCTTATAGTTTAAGAAAAACAGACCAAAACACAAAAAATTAACACTGAGCAATGAACCTTGAAAATGAGGTCAAGGTCAAATAAAACCTGCGTGACTGCCAAATAGATCATAAAATATTTCCATACACCAAATATAGTTGAACTATTGCATATAGTATTAGAAAAAAAGACCAAAACTCAAAAAACTTAACTTTGACCACTGAACCATGAAAATGAGGTCAAGGTCAGATGACACCTGCCAGTTGGACATGTACACCTTACAGTCCTTCCATACACCGAATATACAAGACCTATTGCTTATAGTATCTGAAATATGGACTTGACCACCAAAACTTAACCTCGTTCACTGATCCATAAAATGAGGTCGAGGTCAAGTGAAAACTGTCTGACGGGCATGAGGACCTTGCAAGGTACGCACATACCAAATATAGTTGAGCTATTGCATATAGTATTAGAAAAAAAGACCAAAACTCAAAAACTTAACTTTGACCACTGAACCATGAAAATGAGGTCAAGGTCAGATGACACCTGCCCGCTAGACATGTACACCTTACAATCCTTCCATACACCGAATATTGTAGACCTATGGCATACAGTATAAGAAAAACAGACCAAAACACAAAAACTTAACTATAACCACTGAACCATGAAAATGAGATCAAGGTCAGATGACACCTGCCAGTTGGACATGTACACCTTACAGTCCTTCCATACACCGAATATACAAGACCTATTGCTTATAGTATCTGAGATATGGACTTGACCACCAAAACTTAACCTTGTTCACTGATCCATGAAATGAGGTTGAGGTCAAGTGAAAACTGTCTGACGGGCATGAGGACCTTGCAAGGTACGCACATACCAAATATAGTTATCCTATTACTTATAATAAGAGAGAATCTAACATTACAAAAAATCTGAACTTTTTTTTCAAGTAGTCACTGAACCATGAAAATGAGGTCAAGGACATTGGACATGTGACTGACGGAAACTTCGTAACATGAGGCATCCATATACAAAGTATGAAGCATCCAGACCTTCCACCTTCTAAAATATAAAGCTTTTAAGAAGTTAGCTAACGCCGCCGCCGCCGCCGATGTAGCCGCCGCCCCCTGGATCACTATCCCTATGTCGAGCTTTCTGCGACAAAAGTCGCAGGCTCGACAAAAACCAGAATTTCATTAGCTACCCTTCACATTTGAAAAACTTTTCCTGTTTTAGAGATTGTAAAGTGTACTGTGTAGTAAGAAAAGTCCTGAACCCTAGCACTATCAAATGCTAAGCAACTACTTACCCTCCTCCCCCTATGTTTCAAACTAATCTTTAACCTTAAAACATATCCATGTTGCGCCATATAAATGGTAATGCAAAATTAACCAGTGATAAATCAAATAATCAAAACCAATGACAATGAAAACTACTTTAATTTGACAATTTTTCCATGAAATTTAGCTTTTCTGATTTTCATATCGTAGAAATAACACTTTATCTTTATTTTGCAGGAGAAAGGAGATGATATACAAGTACCATAAGTCAGATTGTGCTGAAAGAATAAATCACATTCTCATATGACAATTACAAACTTTTGTTAGTGCATAAAATCTATTAGGAAGTATAAAGCTGATATTGGAGTGCACGATGAGGATATCAGCAGATTTATATATTTTGTTTCAATGTTCTTGTATTTTACAATTAAACTAGAAACACTATTAGAATACATATGTTACGTTATGTTTTGTTTTGTTTTAATATTTAACCTTTCTGCAACTATTTTATAGGTTGCAATTCTGTAAATATAGAAAATGCAATTTCCCATAGGAACTCCCTTTGCGGCTAAAACTGTGCCACTTTTACAATGAAGTTTCGTGAAAAATTATATCCCAGAACGGAAAGTTAATATGCACTACTATTTTATTCAAAGGTCAAAATATAGGGCAGTGCGGCATATTTTCAACATTTATATGCCCTGAACTTCTAAGAGTTCAAACTTATACTAAAATTCTATACTACCCCTACCTCCACTTTTGGACCTCCTAAGAATTAAATTTTAGGTGCTACCATGTTTTTCTATACTGGTAACATTCCCAAGTTATGTCTCTATGACATAGATGAAACACAGAGATCATATTTGGGAACCAGTACGTTAACAAATGAACATATCTATAAATATTATATATCTCACCTGTTCTATCACTTTTGTTAGAGCATGAAATCTTTTAGGAAGTTTTAAGCTGATATTGGAGAGCAAGATGATGATATCAGCAGATTTAACACTTTTTATATGGTTTAAGTAACTAAAGACATTATTTGATACAGTATCATCAGTATAATTAACTAAAGACATTATTTGATACAGTATCTTTAGTTTAATTTTCATTTATTTTATGTTATTGTTTTTGTAATCTGATATTGTCAAAGATGATAAGGAAAAAAAATGTACTGAATTTCAAATTATGTTTTAATAAATCAATGTCCAAAGATATTGGCTACTTTAAGGGGAAAGTCCTTAAAAAAATCCTCATGAGAACAAATGGTGACTGCATGTCATAATCATGACTTGGTACAAACATTTTTGAATGGAAGAGATGACTTGAACAAGGTTTTACAGAATACCAAAACTCATATTTTTATGACATCTCAACTATGCACCTTGAGGTGCACATTCGAAATCAGAAATGGTTGTAAATTAATAAATCAATATAGTCAAACAGATGCTCATAAGAAGTGATTGATTGACTGTTGTTGTTTAACCCCACTTTCAGTGCTATTGGCTATATCGTAGTTTTAGGGGTAGAGGAAACCAGAGTGTCTGTGAGAGAATCAAGACAATGGGCAGAGAAACTGTCGATCCGAATCAATTAAGATTGGAGTCAAATGCACCTGCCATATGCAGGGTTGCTCCTAGGGAAGAGATGTTGCTCTTGTTTGTTTAGAAAGCCTAGAAAACTTCCATATGAGTATTTAATTAAATATTCCCAAACAGAATAAAACAAAGAAGAATATTTGTAGGGTAAATGTCCATTTGATAGTTACCAAAATATTACCAACAATACATTAGATTCTGAAACAGTGAATTGTTAAAGAAGAGCAACATAAAAACAAAATAAATGTAGATATCCCAAGGCATATCAATATTGCCTATAAAATTGCTGTTAAAAATCCCATATCCCTGAAACATTCAGAACAGAAAAATTTTCTTAATCCAAAGGTAGCTTACATTCACCTATCCTAACACAGTGTAAAGTTTATATTACTGTAAACCAACTTCTTTTCGCAGATACTTTATTTTGCATGAAACCCTTTCTACCCCAATTTCGGCAATTTAATTTTGCAATTTTTAAATTTACTTGATGTAGTTAAAAAGACAAGGAAAGATTCAAGTTTTAAATTCTCATGAAACTTGCGAAAATTAGTTGGTTTACAGTATTTTGATCCAAGCATACTAGAGCTAGTGTGAGAAATGTGAAAAATTACCTTTAATCTGAAGTCCAATAGCAATTGAATAAAAAATCACTAGTCATTCACCATAAACTGACCAAATCACAAACTTAAACTTGATAACAAATCACAAGTCATTCCCCATAAACTGACCTATTCACAAACTTAAACTTGATAACAAATCACTGGTCATTCACCATAAACTGACCTAATCACAAACTTAAACTTGATAACAAATCACTAGTCATTCACCATAAACTGACATAATCACAAACTTAAACTTGATAACAAATCACTAGTCATTCCCCATAAACTGACCTAATCACAAACTTAAACTTGATAACAAATCACTAGTCATTCCCCATAAACTGACCTAATCACAAACTTAAACTTGATAACAAATCACTAGTCATTCACCATAAACTGACCTAATCACAAACTTAAACTTGATAAAAAATCACTAGTCATTCACCATAAACTGACCAAATCACAAACTTAAACTTGATAACAAATCACTAGTCATTCACCATAAACTGACCTAAACACAAACTTAAACTTGATAACAAATCACTAGTCATTCACCATAAACTGACCTAATCACAAACTTAAACTTGATAACAAATCACTAGTCATTCCCCATAAACTGACCTAATCACAAACTTAAACTTGATAACAAATCACTAGTCATTCCCCATAAACTGACCTAATCACAAACTTAAACTTGATAACAAATCACTAGTCATTCCCCATAAACAGACTTAATTACAAACTTAAACAGTTGCTGATGCCGAATCTAGAAACATCACACCTAAGTCCTGCCTCTTGCTACTTTGTTGATGTGAGACAAAATTCAAGTAATTTCATATAAAGATTATTATCAAATGTTTCATCAGTGTAACTTTTAATTTTAACAATTGCAGTCAACATCACCAGAAACATCATAACTAATGTTTGCCTCCACAACTATTGTTGCAGGCCAGACAAAACCTCACAACTATTGTGGCAGGCCAGACAAAACCTCACAACTATTGTGGCAGGCCAGACAAAACCTCACAACTATTGTGGCAGGCCAGACAAAACCTCACAACTATTGTGGCAGGCCAGACAAAACCTCACAACTATTGTTGCAGGCCAGACAAAACCTCACAACTATTGTGGCAGGCCAGACAAAACCTCACAACTATTGTGGCAGGCCAGACAAAACCTCACAACTATTGTTGCAGGCCAGACAAAACCTCACAACTATTGTGGCAGGCCAGACAAAACCTCACAACTATTGTGGCAGGCCAGACAAAACCTCACAACTATTGTGGCAGGCCAGACAAAACCTCACAACAAAACCTCACAGCTATTGTTGCAGGCCAGACAAAACCTCACAACTATTGTTGCAGGCCAGACAAAACCTCACAACTATTGTGGCAGGCCAGACAAAACCTCACAACTATTGTGGCAGGCCAGACAAAACCTCAAAACTATTGGGCCAGGCCAGACAAAACCTCACAACTATTGTGGCAGGCCAGACAAAACCTCACAACTATTGTGGCAGGCCAGACAAAACCTCACAACTATTGTGGCAGGCCAGACAAAACCTCACAACTATTGTGGCAGGCCAGACAAAACCTCACAACTATTGTTGTAGGCCAGACAAAACCTCACAACTATTGTTGCAGGCCAGACAAAACCTCACAACTATTGTTGCAGGCCAGACAAAACCTCACAACTATTGTTGCAGGCCAGACAAAACCTCACAACTATTGTTGCAGGCCAGACAAAACCTCACAACTATTGTTACAGGCCAGACAAAACCTCACAACTATTGTTGCAGGCCAGACAAAACCTCACAACTATTGTTGCAGCCTAGACAAAACCTCACAACTATTGTTGCAGGCCAGACAAAACCTCACAACTATTGTTGCAGGCCAGACAAAACCTCACAACTATTGTTGCAAGCCAGACAAAACCTCACAACTATTGTTGCAGGCCAGACAAAACCTAAGTTTGAAACTGCTTAAGGAAACATCAACTGTTATCCATTTAATTTTTTTTTTTTCATTCAAATTTTGTTTTCCTAAACTTTTGGCTCTGATCATTCTGGATAAAGATAAGGGATAAAAGAATGTATAACAAGATGAATTCTGAGTTAGGGTTCACTGATTATCCTCCTGTTGTAAGTAAACAGGTACTTGATGAGCAATAGATTTTAAAATGCATTACAATGGTAACGCATGCTTACATAAAGCTTGATACTAAATTTCCAGAAAGATCCAATTCATAATTCCTGAGAAAAATACAAGGAAAATTTCAAAGAAGGCCATTATGTGAAAGAATGTTAAAGTATTCTGTAAACAGAAAGATGATGAGCGATAACTGTAGAAATGCATTTACATGGTATAGCATAGGAAGTTCCAATTCATAGTTCCTTAGAAAAATGCAATGAAAATTTCATGCATTGACAAAATGTGTAGAAAAGATAAGTAATGGATAAAAATGAAGCTGACGAGCAAAGAATGTGTAAAGACATCAAACTGTAAACCATACTCACATTAAGCTTGTTACCAAATTTCAGTAAGCTCTGATATGTACTTCCTTACAAAATGCTACAAAATTTTCATGGGACAAACAGACCAATGGATAGAGGTAAACCAGTATACCCACTCCTTTGGATCGGGGGTATAACAAACAGTAAGTTCATTTTGTTGTATTTTGATATTTATAAACAGAAATTCAATCAGCACTGTTTCTTCCATGTAACATTAAAATCAGTCAACTGTCCAGACAACAGACAAGGGAAACCAAGTGATGCTATAAGCTTGACAACTGTCCAGACAACAGAAAAGGGAAACCAAGTGATGCTATAAGCTTGACAACTGTCCAGACAACAGACAAGGGAAACCAAGTGATGCTATAAGCTTGACAACTGTCCAGACAACAGACAAGGGAAACCAAGTGATGCTATAAGCTTGACAACTGTCCAGACAACAGACAAGGGAAACCAAGTGATGCTATAAGCTTGACAACAGTCCAGACAACAGACAAGGGAAACCAAGTGATGCTATAAGCTTGACAACTGTCCAGACAACAGACAAGGGAAACCAAGTGATGCTATAAGCTTGACAACTGTCCAGACAACAGACAAGGGAAACCAAGTGATGCTATAAGCTTGACAACTGTCCAGACAACAGACAAGGGAAACCAAGTGATGCTATAAGCTTGACAACTGTCCAGACAACAGACAAGGGAAACCAAGTGATGCTATAAGCTTGACAACTGTCCAGACAACAGACAAGGGAAACCAAGTGATGCTATAAGCTTGACAACTGTCCAGACAACAGAAAAGGGAAACCAAGTGATGCTATAAGCTTGACAACTGTCCAGACAACAGACAAGGGAAACCAAGTGATGCTATAAGCTTGACAACTGTCCAGACAACAGACAAGGGAAACCAAGTGATGCTATAAGCTTGACAACTGTCCAGACAACAGACAAGGGAAACCAAGTGATGCTATAAGCTTGACAACTGTCCAGACAACAGACAAGGGAAACCAAGTGATGCTATAAGCTTGACAACTGTCCAGACAACAGACAAGGGAAACCAAGTGATGCTATAAGCTTGACAACTGTCCAGACAACAGACAAGGGAAACCAAGTGATGCTATAAGCTTGACAACTGTCCAGACAACAGACAAGGGAAACCAAGTGATGCTATAAGCTTGACAACTGTCCAGACAACAGACAAGGGAAACCAAGTGATGCTATAAGCTTGACAACTGTCCAGACAACAGACAAGGGAAACCAAGTGATGCTATAAGCTTGACAACTGTCCAGACAACAGACAAGGGAAACCAAGTGATGCTATAAGCTTGACAACTGTCCAGACAACAGACAAGGGAAACCAAGTGATGCTATAAGCTTGACAACTGTCCAGACAACAGACAAGGGAAACCAAGTGATGCTATAAGCTTGACAACTGTCCAGACAACAGACAAGGGAAACCAAGTGATGCTATAAGCTTGACAACTGTCCAGACAACAGACAAGGGAAACCAAGTGATGCTATAAGCTTGACAACTGTCCAGACAACAGAAAAGGGAAACCAAGTGGTGCTATAAGCTTGACAACTGTCCAGACAACAGAAAAGGGAAACCAAGTGATGCTATAAGCTTGACAACTGTCCAGACAACAGACAAGGGAAACCAAGTGATGCTATAAGCTTCATAACTGTCCAGACAACAGACAAGGGAAACCAATTGATGCTATAAGCTTGACAACTGTCCAGACAACAGAAAAGGGAAACCAAGTGGTGCTATAAGCTTGACAACTGTCCAGACAACAGAAAAGGGAAACCAAGTGATGCTATAAGCTTGACAACTGTCCAGACAACAGACAAGGGAAACCAAGTGATGCTATAAGCTTCATAACTGTCCAGACAACAGACAAGGGAAACCAAGTGATGCTATAAGCTTGACAACTGTCCAGACAACAGACAAGGGAAACCAAGTGATGATATAAGCTTGACAACTGTCCAGACAACAGACAAGGGAAACCAAGTGATGCTATAAGTTTCACAACCTGTGGAGTGTTTAAAAAGAGAGACGGAAGATATCAAAGGGATATTACAACTCATAAGTTGATGAAAAACTGACAACACCATGGCAAAAAAAAATGTTCTTCATTCTATGTAAAATATAAGTGACATGTTACATCACACCCCGTAACCAAAACAATTTAACAAGAATGCACACACTATCATGCTTAGCATACTCCCACTTGAAATTCAAAGTATCTGAAAACAGGAAGTAGGTGTCTGACCAAATATGAATGCATTCTGTTGAGTAGAGAAAAGTGAGATAAAACATTTAAAGATTATATCACATATAGCCTCAGTAAAACAGGAAGTAGGTGTCTGACCAATTATGAATGCATTCTGTTGAGTAGTTTCTGAGAAAAGTGTGACAAAAATTCAAATATTATTCAACATATAGTCTCAGCAAAACAGGAAAATGTTACAACTCATCACTGTTAAGCTGCTGACCAAATATGAAGTCATTGTGTGCAGAAGTTTCCAAGAAAAGTGTGACTCATTCTCTACACCAAATATAGATCATTTATTACTTATAGTATCTGAGAAAATGACCTAATCATGAAACGTAAATTTGACCAATGAATAATGAAAATATGTCAGATGGACATGTTAACCTTAAACAATCATTCTTAAAATGAAAAGTAGAAGACCAATAAGTTGTTTCTATGATATGGACCTAATCACACAAATTAAATTTAACATTGAAAACTGAATCATGACATGAGGTAAAGGTCAGTTGAACCCTGTCTGACAAACATATCTACCTTTAATACAGTGCTAATTTATACCAAATAGAGTTGTCCTAACATTCACAAAACTGAAAAAAAAATCATGTGATAATTTTGTTTATCTATACTTAACAATGAAAATGAGATCATGATAACAGATAAATGCAAAACTTCCTACATTAAGGCACCAGTTTACAAGAAATTGATTACCCAGCCCTTCTACCTTTTGAAATACGAAGCTTTGTGCAAATAGTTTACTTCATTTCAACAGCATGATAAGAATCCTGCCTCAATTTCTGTAACAATAATTGTAGAGAAGACAATAAAAATTCAATCTAGTCAAACAGAAAGTGACTGCACATCAGACCTGCAAATTACCCATTCATTACAACAACATGATTCAGTTCCAGGCCAAATGTTAAGTCACTTCTTCATGTAGAAGTTTTTGACAGAAGGACAAGGTGATTGTAGTATCCAAATATCATAATAAGGATTGAGGCTGGTCTTATTTTAATTTCTATGGACTGTGCCCTTTAAGACTAATGGCACTGTGTCAAAACAAGCAATGTCCTGGTTCTCAAAATCACAGGAAGTTTTATTTGTACAACATTTGTATCATCAAATACTCTATTTGTTCTGCAAAAGACCTTAGATTTCATTAATTTCATAACATTTCTTGGAAGAAGGTCAAGCCAAGGTCATTCTGGGAATTTGTCATTTGTTAAAAATATTGTCCAATTTGCACACTGATCTTTACTATCCTTTGACCTTCAATTAATATTTCTTTATCTATTCTTTTACCTGTAGTTTTTGGTACATTTCTAAGTTAATAGCTTTGATTTCCTCTAGCTGTTTCCGTAATGAGATCATGGTATCCTGTTTTTCATGTATATCTTTCTCTAAAATCCTCAGCGCCATTTCCATTTCTTGCTTCATGCCTATTTGCAGTTCCAATTCTTTTTCAACATCCTGTCAAAATAAAAGTCACATTTAAAATTTAATTTAACAATATTGGACATATTCATAATTCATAAATTTTTGAGATAACCAAATTGAATATTTTCAAATTTTAACTAAAGTAAATTTAAATCAAAACCAGGCAAAGTCTCAGTTTCTTTATTTAACAAATATTTTGGTTAGTTTGAGTCTTTAGCGACACTTTAATATCCTTGGGTTCAAGTTGTCTTGGAAAAACTTACTAACCATAAATCAAACTGACCATAAAGTCAAACTGACCATAAAGTCAAACCTAGTAAAACTTGGATTTGGGGATGAATGCAACACTAATTGTAGGAGTATAGATATAATCTAGTATTTGTATAACGGTCTATTCATTTCAGGCTCATTCTTAATGAAAAAAATGGCCATGCTGTAGAATTTCAGAATTAAGTTCATATTTCTAAAGTCAAAACACAAGCTAAAAAGTAATTGGTAATGCCTGAATTTTCTAAACTGACAAAATTTATTAGAATGATAATAATCACAAAAACATCTCATTATTTCAAAATTAATTGAGTTATTGATAATATTTACACCAAAAAATGTTAATATTGGTTAGAAACACCATTAAAAGTGGTTGAAAATACCAGTTAATTGTATAAATCTCTCTCCTTAAAATAGCACTGAAGTTTATTATCCCAGCAACAACAGTTTTGATAGACTAATGCACTGGTAAAAAAAAAAAATATGAAATCCACAAGCCTTATAAAGCCTGGTAAAATAAACCCGAAAGGATTTTCAACTATTTTGTTTTTTAACCTTTAGATTTAATCTATGGAATGTTTCTCTTTTTCATACAATTGTAAAGTTAGTGAATAAAGATTTTAACTTTATGTCAAACACAAAATATTATTGAAATCATAAATGAAAATATACACATGAAGATTAAATTTGTAATTAAGTATGACTTAACTGTGCTCTGCTCTGAAAGATACACACTGCTTAAAGCAAAAAAAATATTGTATATAAAGCTATATGAAAGCATGGGAGGTAACTGTGTTTTTTTTTGTGAATCTGTAAGGGAGATAATCTCACCAGTCTCATTTTGGTTTCTTCCTCCAGTTTAGACTTTAAATCTCCATACATGCTGTCAAGGCCAGTATGTGATGTCTGATATGTCTCACGTTCTACTTCAATATCTTGTTTGGCAGCCTAGTGACACAAAATTTATTGCAACAGAAAGTTTTTTGACAGTTTTATAGGGATTTTTTTTGGTAGAAAACTATTTCTGCAAGCAACAATTTTCACTACAAAAAAATAGATGAATTAAAAAAAAATTTCAAATGATTTTTCATAATTTTTCAGTATATAAAATAAACATCCACAAAAAACACTTGCCGAAATAATTCCCAAGTATGCATTTTGGGGAAAATAAAGCAACAAAAGACAAATGGCTGCTTTTCTGAATCATTTATATTTAAAGAGTTATCTATATGCATGAAACTGTTCAGCATGCTTCCAATTAATCTAATAAGTATGAAATATTAGAATCATAAGTCATAGATACCAATGGTCAGTGAACAATCAACAGCTGGCTTATATGTAAGTGTTAATAAAATGACCATGTAAAAGAGAACTTGATAATCATCAAACCTTTCAAACATTTCAAGCAATATTTACAAATAATTTTTAAGGAATTGTACAATTCTCCAGCCTTAAAATTTCTTATTTGTAAATCTAGGTTAATTTCTACAAAAATAAAATGGACATTGGTATTATTACTTTCGGTCGGTAATGAAAAAATATTATTTTTTTTCTGCTACATTTTGGCAATTATTCATCTCTTTCAATGAGGTATTTCCAAAATAAGTATCTATAAAACCATTTATATATTATACATAATCTTTTATAAGAAACCTTAGCTTCTTCAGGAGTCCTTTAAGGAACTGATTCAGTTTAGGCAGCCATTTGTCTTTTGTAAATATGTGCTTGCATGTTACATTTTGACAACAGCTAATACTTACACTTATATTTCTAGTTGAGGCTTGCTGGCATGTAAATAAGACATACACATGTATTCAAGCACAACTCACTACCAAATTATTTAGCATCTAATCATACAAAATATGTTTTCAATTGATCACAACTTTTCAACTTAAGAAAAAGTATCAACCTTTGAGAAGATATCATCATATGATATTGGTATCAAACGTATAAGATATTCTATGTAAGTCCTATCAGAGGTAATAGTGTTATGAACTTTCAGTTTCTACATATCTGTGGTTGTCCTTGGTTGCTGTCTGTCTTATTTCTTTTTTTCTTTTGTTGCTTTTAGCAATAAGAAGTCTGTTGGTTATTTCAATTGTGTCACATTTTGTCATGTCTTTTATTGCTTACCAGGGTACTATATGGTATTGGCTTTGTTCATTGTTGAAGGCAATATAGCCACCATTGATATTTCACATTCTCATCCTTTTGTCTCTGGTAGATATATGTCTCATATTGGCAATCATACCACATCTTCTTATAGTATATACTTGTATGTAATGAACATTTCTTGTAATTAATTTTAAATGTAAGATTTTTTATAAAACACCCTATATATAGATCCATCAGAATCATTTCATTCAGTACTTTGTGTTAATGCACTGATTAAGCTTATCACATTAATACAACTATGAAGTTGCAACTAGTATTGAAAAACATCCCTTTTTTGTATGAATGGAATAGTTCTACCTTACCTACCTCTATTTGTTTGGTATGTTCCTCTGTAATATTTTCCCTATCACTTTTCAACTGTTCATTCTCTTCTTGAATAGCTAGAAAGTTATTTTTAGATAATGCTAGGTCTTCTTTCATCAGAGCATTTGTTGTCATGGCTTCCTGCATTTTTTGTTGTAAATTTGTTACTGTAGCACTGAAATATTAAAGTTCAACATTATTTTTTAGCTTAAAACTAGTTATATGCATGGTCACCATTTATTTGAAAAAAAATGTCATTTCATGGTTAAAGTTTCTGTTTCTACAGTGTAATTTCTAATGAGAAATAAATCCTCAGTGCCTTATGGAAAATGAACAATTATATGTAGTTTTTGACTCAGAAGTGAAAGATTCGGTCCAGTTTGACAATAAATACAATTTTGAATATTCAAAATTCTATGAATGATTTTTAACTACAAAAACATTGATAATTTTTTAGGTTTTAACAGTGTATATAGTCTGAAATACATTTTTTAATATCATGGTTCAATAACTAGACTTCAAGAGTATAAAGACAATGTACCTTATTCTAAACCTTTATCATAAATTTATTTTGCTTATAAAATGGCTTTTTTAAATTCTTTACAGAAAAATGACTAAGTTTTCGAAGCGTGAAAAAAATCTTCAAACATTTCCAAATAATGTGTAACTTCAACATGTGTGCTATGTTTCTATGAAGTTTCAAAGATCTGGGTAGAAAATTGGAGGTGGTGTTCATTACACATAACTTAGTCATTTTGCATATTTTGAAAATTTTGCTGCAAAATGACTAAGTTTTTAAAAGCGTGAAACGAGAAAAAATTCCTCAAACAATTCTATAATAGCAGGTACACAATTTCAACATATGTGCAATGTTTCTGTGAAATTTCAGGGAATTGGGTTGGTAGGAGGAGTTGATTACATAAAAGAGGTATCTTTTTTTCCTGCCCGACATCACGTAACTAGAATCCGCTTTTTGACTTATCCAAACCGACCATGAATATATCATGTCTCAAAAATTGTTCAAAGAAAAATAAAAAATCTGCATTCATCTTTTCAACAAGCAGGGATGAATTGGAGTTTTCCAGATTCACTTGGTCTAAAGAAACAAATATTTACTTCAAATGTCTATTCAATTCTTCTAAGTAATTCTTTTGATCAAGTATTGTAGCCATCTTGGAATCCTTTTCCCTGAAACATGGCATATGATAAATAAATATCAAGATTAACAATTCTGAAAAATAAAATGGGGTAATTTTAAGAACGTTTTGACAAAATTAACATACAGCACAAGTGTTGCCAAATTTAGTTTTTTGCTAAATTAGATAAAATATGAAATCCACCTATTGTTTAAATATTTAAATAAAGGTTGTGCTTTTTATTTTTTCAAAACATTTACAAGTCAAATAATAAAGATTTTGTATAATGTCTACATTTTACTGAATTTACTGTCATTCTATGGCTGTATAAACCATAAAAAAGGTATATTTCAAACCAAAATTGCAAAGTTTTATTGGATACATAGATTCAACATTTAATTCTGAAAATCAGAGATGGTTTGCAATATATCTGACACTTAAATCAGAATCCAATTTAGGAACTCCAAATGAGAGGTTTAAGTCTCAGCACATTATAGAACTCTTAAGAAGGGTCCCCAGGTGACATGCCCTATTAAATATACTCCTTTTCCAATGGCAGTCCAAATTTCCTGCCCTTCAACCTGCTCAACCCACATTCCCACACCTAACTGTTGTTATCTATTTAATTTGTATCTGTTTTGGTTATGCATGGTATGTTTGCCTATGGATGTTAAACAAAGAAAAATCAATCAATGAAAGTCCAGGTTCATACATGATCATACAATTTTAAAGATATTTGATACACCTTAAAAGTACAAGTATTTAGTTAGCCATTCAATATCTCCTGGGGGCCTTATTGGCTGAGAAGCTGAAAATGAATTAGAATGACTATGGTCTAAGAAGTTCATCTAATGTATCACAAACCAGTCAACACTGAGGTCTTAATTGACTAGGATTGCCAGTTTTTCTCTTAAAGGTCATGGTTCTCTCAGGCTTTCTCCACCAATAAAAACTGACCACCACAATATAGCCAATAATGCTGAAAGTGGTGTTTAACACCAACAATCAATCAATCAATTTCTCCTGTGAACTAATTAAACTGAAATTCAACATTATGTGTGGGCTATGCAAGTAGGTAAATTCAAGCAGCCTTTTTCGAAAAAAAAAGCATGTACTAGTAATAAAAACACCCATATATATATTTTTTACAGGTTTTCAGACCATGTATTATTCACTACATGATTCTTAGATGATAGAATGTATTAAAATGTATCTTACCTGTCATTGTCTGGTGAAGAATCCTGTAGCCTACTGTCTTTTAAATATAAACTAAAATCTATCACTCCTATCTGTTAATAGAACAAACATAGAAGCTTACTTAAAGCTAGTTTATCAAACAAGTTTACCAATAACCCTTTTTTTTTTAATTGTTAAGGGCTCAGCAGAACCCTGTGTCTCGCCTTTGATTGCTGATGTCAGTGTAAAAGTGCACTGATGACTGCCAAAGTCCATTTATCAGTAAAATACATGTTGTTTTTTTTTAAATAGATTTTTTCTTCTGATGGTAATTCTTGAAAATTTTCTGTTCAAGTTTCTTTACATTCCATAAAGGTAGGACAAAGTTATTGATGTCTTAAATGTTAAACCCCAGACTGTATCTAAATGTTAACTGCAAAAAAAAAATCCATTCATCAGTAAAATAAAGGGGAAAAAATATATATTTTCAAAATTTTGCTTCAGACATTATCTATTCATCATAAAACAGCTTCTGACAAAGTTTCATAAAGTTCTATGAAGGTTTGACATAGTTAAACATGTGCCTTTTATTCATATTTTTCAGTTGTTTATCTATGAATGAAAGAGATTAATCACAAAGAACAAGCATCCATATTATCAAAATGAATTAAAGATAGGAGAATAAAAAGAGGCATATGTAAACAGTAACACCTAAAACCTTAAACATGGACAATATGAACTCATCAAAACAGAAGTAGCATCATGTGCTTTAGAAGGACAGAATTTCCTGCTCACATGAGTCACCCAGGGTCAAAGCTTGTAAATCCCACTTACTGGTTGATCTAAGTCCTCTTCTTTAATACACATGTTACAGTCAATTACATTCAAGCCTACTAACAGACCAGGAATTACCATACCTTCATCTTCAATCAACATCGCACCAGGTTCATAAAAGTCACTGTAAAAAATGTAATTGTGTATAATAAACTAAAATTTTAAATACAGAAAGAAGTGTCTAACATTAATCTAGTTCTCTTTTTTCAGCCTTTGATAGTTATACTTAGCCATGTTCTGTGTAAGAATTCTGACACAAACATTTGTGCTATATCAGGTAATATTCGCATCAGGTTTTGTTTTTCCATTTAGGCCATTGAAGGGACAGTTAAGTTATGGCTGTGTTCATTATTGACCTTTGGAATGGACAGTAAAATTATATGAGGGTTAATTTGGCGGTAAAATAAGGGGGAAAAAGGGCAGGAAATTTGGATTGTCATCTGAAAAAGAAGTCGTGTTGGATAGGGGCAGACATTTCGCCTTTCAATTGATCCCTTATGCACCTCCGAAAGAGTAAATGTAAGGGTTCATTAACAGCAAAGAACATGGCACTCTTTCTATGTGAGGCATCACATTTAGTCTTCATATTACCAACCAATGTGGCTGTGTATTTATACATCCTGCACAGTCAAACTGATGGTGGGCTCAGCAACTTACATAACTACTATTGACAGGAAGAGTCAACCCTTTGGCTTTGTGTAAAATGTCTAGGATATCTACAATGTATTCAATTGTGTACCAGCACAAAAAACAGAAAAGCTCAACAAACCACCCATTTCTACATCTTTACTTAGTGTTGTGCAAAATAAATCAATATTACAAGACAATGTACAGAAATTGTTCATATACAAACCTTAAAACTTCATCCTTCTTCTCTATGAGTACTTTGAAGTAATCTGCTAATGTTTTCTGCATCAAGGCAAGTCTCAGCCATGCTCTAGCTCTACCTAAAGGTGTTCTGTTGATGGAAAAAGAGATAAATACATGTACATTTAATATGCCTTTTTTTAAAACCAGAAAGTTAGGTACATAAAAGTGCTTTATTTTTGTGGTACAGCCATCCCATGAAAAAAATGTCAATTTCACCAATTTTTTTTCCTTTCACTTCTTTTTTACTATAATTACTGCAGCCTGTGAACGCCAGACGCATGTTTCTTCTATATAAAACTCATCAGTGACGATCCAATCAAAAAAAGTTAAAACAGCCAAATAAAGTACAAAGTTTATGAGCATTGAGGACTCAAAATCAGTTTTTGTCTTGGGGGGGACAAGTTCTGGCAAGGAAGTCTAAGGGAGTCCAATGTAGCAAATAAAATGCTCCGCTGGGGCGCAGCTTGATACGACCGCAGAGGTCGAACCCTGAACAGTTGGGGCAAGTATGGACACAACATTCAAGCTTGATACAGCACTGAATTTGGATTGTAATTAAATATTTGACACAGCATAGGTTTCTCACACAGAATGAAAGTGGTCTAAGAACTTAAAAAATTTTAATTTACCTATTCAAACCATATCATTATTATTTGCTTTTATATATAAATCAGAAACAGCCAATTTAAAATGGAAAATTTTAAAGAAAAAAAGGAAAAAAAAATCCCCCCCCAAATTTTTTGAACCCACCTTATGATTCATCACCCCTAAACTCAATCCCAGCTTTCCCTTTGTGGTATGGTACCTTGCAGTACAATTTCAGAGAGATCCATACACTTGAACACAAGTTATTGTCTGGAAACTAGAAAAATGCTTGTTTTTTGGCCCCTTTATGGCCCCAAATTCCTAAACGTTTAGGGCAATTACCCCCAAACTCAAACCCAGCTTTCCCTTTGTGATATGGAACCTTGCAGTACAATTTCATAAAGATCCATACACTTACACACAAGTTATTGTCCTGAAACTAGAAAAATGCTTGTTTTTTTGCCCTTTTATGGCCCCTAATTACAAAAATTTTGAGGGAATTACCCCCAAAATCAATCCCAGCCTTCCCTTTGTGGTATGGTACCTTGCAGTACAATTTCAGAGAGATCCATACACATGAACACATTTTATTGTCTGGAAACTAGAAAAATGCTTATTTTTGGCCCCTTTTTGGCCCCAAATTCTGATTTTGGGGTATAATACTATGATTGTTAAAATTGTTGCTGTCCCATGAGCAATAATTCATAATAAAGTTACATTTTTGCTTTAAATCAGTTTTAATAGTCTCAGGGAACACAGCCAGAATCAATAAGAGCTCAGTGAGGACAATGTTTAAACTTTAAATGCATATTTTTTATTAATCAATTGTATTGATTTTGTATTTGTTTTTATGTTTGTTATGTGTACATACTTTATGTGAGGCATTTCACGAACACTTGTGGTTATTTCCCCTGCTTCAGGAACTAGTTTCTCTATGGACTCTAGTACAGACCAGAAATCCTTCCTATCACGTAAAATTCCTTTTTTTGCTGAAAAACATGACAAATTGTTTTTGTTTTTTTTGTATTTCATGGATATTTTTCTTCTTCAAAAGAGCTGTAAAAATCAAAAAAAAAAAAAAAGATAAAAATAAAATAAACTGATGTTGAAAATTATGTTCAAAAGACATAAAGAACTCTTGCAAAAATGTTTTACCATTGAATAGCCTATAATGTGGAAAAGGGGGAATTATTACAAACAATGCCTGAAGACGTGTTAAAGTACATGCACTAGCATATACAACTGTATCACAAGGGAGATGTTTACCTATCATTCAACCCATGTCTAGGATGTGCACAATAACAATCAGTTGACAGGAGAGATAATTACTTACGTTTCAACCCATGTCTAGGACGTGCACAATAACAATCAGTTGACAGGAGAGATAATTACTTACGTTTCAACCCATGTCTAGGATGTGCACAATAACAATCAGTTGACAGGAGAGATAATTACTTACGTTTCAACCCATGTCTAGGACGTGCACAATAACAATCAGTTGACAGGAGAGATAATTACTTACGTTTCAATCTATGTCTAGGACGTGCACAATAACAATCAGTTGACAGGAGAGATAATTACTTACGTTTCAACCCATGTCTAGGACGTGCACAATAACAATCAGTTGACAGGAGAGATCATTACTTACGTTTCAACCCATGTCTAGGACGTGCACAATTACAATCAGTTGACAGAAGAGATCATTACTTACGTTTCAACCCATGTCTCATGTCTAGGACGTGCACAATAACAATCAGTTGACAGGAGAGATAATTACTTACGTTTCAATCCATGTCTAGGACGTGCACAATAACATTCAGTTGACAGAAGAGATAATTACTTACGTTTCAACCCACGTCTAGGACGTGCACAATTACAATCAGTTGACAGTAGAGATCATTACTTACGTTTCAACCCATGTCTAAGGACATGTTCCAGTACCACAAAGAACTGTTGTAATGGAATGTGATCATCGTCTAACATACGACCATGTGATAGTGAAGAATCTATCAATTCTTTGATGATAAGCTTGCAGATATTCAATAGGTTAGCTCTTTCTATTGTCTTTGGGTCTCTTCCTGTCAAATACAAAAGTTAAATTTTACGTTAAATCTATTCACAACTTGTTATAGACGAATTGATTGATTGATTGATTGTTGCTTGGTTAATGTCCAGTGGCAAATGTAGGCTTGATACATATGGATTTTTTAAAAACTTTTAAAATTTAGTGAACTAACGCCTGGTAAATCTTCTGTCAGTAGATTCCATTAAGTGGATACCTCGGGTATGCAGGGTCGTTACGATAAAATCATAAAATGTAGAAGGTCCTGTAACAACAACACTTTAAGGAATGCTCCAGTAATTTATTGAGATCGACATGTTTCGGTGGCATAGCAAAGTAAGCCAGATTCCCAAGATAACAATGAGACTATTCTATTAGCCCCCCTCCCCCCTTCAACTCCTAAGATGCAAGCTAATAAGTAAATGACAGCATACTTTAATAATCTTTCTAAAAGTTATGTATTTGGGAAAACCTTTCAGAATTTTGGGTCATCAATGCTCTTCAATATCATACTTTATTAGACCCTTTAAACTCATCACTGATGAGTCTTTTGTAGACAAAACATGGATCTGGCATACAAAATTTTAATCCTGATATCTATGATGAGTTTATTTAAAATTATCAGGTAAAGATGATCTGTAGAGGATCTGAAAGATCCTGTATCCTGAACCATCATTTAGTATCACAAGAGACATTTAGAAAAGCGTTATTATAAGTTATATGGTTTCCTACTGACCCCCTACTGATCCATAGAGGGTTAGTAAAATTCATAGAGTGTAAGGCGGAAGACTGAATCCCCTATTGAATTTACTAACCCTCTATGGATCTGTAGGGGGTCAGTAGTGAATCGTATAACGAATTTATCATAGACAATAATGGTATAATTGTACCCCATGATAAAACTAATTTGTATATATGTTTATTCATTAAATTTGAAGAATTGTCTTAGTTGTGTGATATGACTTTTGTTATCAACTGCTTCCTGTTAGTTTTAAAAATAGCTCTTGTCTGTATGTCCTCTGCTAAAGTATATGATAAAAAGAACATAACATGTCATTTTTCATATAAGACCCCTTATCAGCCCATGGTCTGTAGGCTCTCTGGCTGATATCATGACCTAGGGCTGATAAGGAGTCTGATATGAAAAATGCCATGTTATAATCTATATTTATCACATATCGGACTTTTCCTGCCAAGTTTTGTATAAAAAAAACAATGAAATACAAAAACATTAATAGATGACGTCACCATTAATAGTAAACATGACGTCATGAACCCAATATGAAATCTACTGACCCCCTATGGATCCATAGGGGGTCACCACATGATGGCGTTAAACCAATCATAACGTCATTTATCTACCCTGGTGCAATAATAACTTATTATAGTGAACATTTTTGTACTTATGTCTTATCTATCTCACTTCCAATAATGCAATGTAATGTTTCTCATTTTTGTCTTTGTTTAATCATGCAATTTAACTGAGATATTTTTATTGGTAGATACTACCAGGAGATAATCCTATTTGAATCTAATTTGCCCATTGCTGATTGATGATTGTTTGTTGCTGAACATCCAGTGGCAAATATTTCATGCATGTTCTGGACGAGAACAAATTAACAATAAATACAATAGGTATGTCCTATAGTAGAGTCCGTTCGGGATGAAGGTTTGGGTAATTTAGACTGCCACTGGAAAATGAGGGTATATTGGATAGGGACAGAAATTTTGCCTTGCAACAGGCCACATACGGATCCCTACAAATGTTGTTGCAAAGTTTCTTAACGTGCAGAGAGTGTGACAAGCTCTCTACATGAGGCATCGAATTTAACGTCCAGATTCTGACTGGACGTGGCTGCGTACTTGTACACCCTGCACAGTCAAACAGTTGCCCCACTTTGGCAAGGGTTTTACTGCTGGTCGGAAGAAGACCTGTTCTATATGTAGTGACCATATTTCTATTCCCCAGTCACTCTTGAGATTGTTTATTGCAAATGCATTATAGGTCCAATACATATATATATGTTAAATATAAATTATGTATGAGTAATGTTGCAAGTCTGGACATCTCTTATAAATTTTAAGTATGACCTTCTTCTAGAAACAATGACGTTAACTTATCATGCTTACTGATCAGTGCGAAATTGTATCTTTATCAAGACATCTTTTGAAATTGCAATTGGATAGTTTAAGACCTATGCACTAAAAATACAACTGTGTACAAGGATTTGTTAAAACCTCTTATAACTCTTTCAAAATCATTGGAAAAAAATGAAGAGAACTGTCATTGAAAATTCATTTACACTGACGTCCATTTATAATGAATAACTTTCATTAAACTTTCCATACCACCTGCACCATGTGTACTGGACTTAGAATCATAAAACCTTTCAATAAATGTCTATGATAATTAAATTGAAAATTACAGACATGTATAATGTAAAGAAGAGTAAGTTAAAGTAATCATATTCAATAAAAATGAAATAATGTATATATATATATACTATCTCAAATCAGTGTATTAATCCTGTTGTTATATATTTATAACGTAAAATGCTCTGAAATAATAGTACCGCTTCAATATTTACAGATAAGAATTGCATAATCTTTTATGTTTTTTGGAACAATTAACAATGATGTTTTTTTTACAGCTAAGCAGGCATTCAGATGTTATGGAATTCCTCTCTATGTATATCTCAAACACACAGACCAATCTAGCATTATCTTCAATCAAAAGATAATTATAAACTTAAAATAGGGTAAGTCATGAATTTTTTTCAACCCCAAAATTGTTGACATTCCTGCAGACATAACATTACATAATTAAACAGCAAAACACAAACATATTTCAATCAGCAACCCCTCCCCATACTGCCCCTGCCCCCTTACCATCATCAGCTTCAGGGGACAGCAAAAATCCCTCATCCACCTCTAACTGCATATCACTTAATTCCTTCAAGCATAGCCAGTCCCCATCAACACTAACTCGAAAATTACATAGATAGATTGTCTCCTCGGCCATGTTTGATTTCTCTCTTGGAGGAAAATCAATAGTTGCTGTTACAGTGCTATATCAATGGCATTTTTCCAATATTCACTTAACATCACAAGACTTTAACAGATGAAATAAATCATCAATTGATTTCCAATAAATCTTAAATGTTTGTCAATTAAGAAAACAAATGGTCAAGTCTAAATAATTAGCCTTCCTATTAATTTTGGTGTCATACATTCTAACCTATTTAAAATTCACAATTCACAATTAACAATTGTTGCTTTTAATGAATTTTTTATTCAAGGCAAAACTGGTAATAAATTAAAGGAACACTGAATTCTTCTATTTAATAACAAACCATATCTGAATTTAATATCTTTAATTAAAGAAAATTTATGAATATGTTACATAAAGATCACATATATATATATATTATAAATGCTTAGCAATCATTTGCAGTATGTTAAAATTATTATTTTATCTATTTTATGAAAATGAATAAGTTACTTTTATTTATTTTTATGAAAAATAAATAAATTATGTTTTTTCATTAATTTTAGATATTAGATTTTTTCAAAGAAATGAATGATAATTAAGGTCATGTTATTTGGTTAGAGGAGGAGATGGGGTAAGTTCAGCCATTTTACATCAATTTGGTTAAACTTACCATGAAATTTGTTTGAATATTGAACACATATTTACAACTCCTAGTCCAATCAAATTGCTTGAAAAGTAACCACGCATTACCAAGATTTCATTATATTGTAATCTGCAAGGTATTGTAAGAACAAGAAGTGCCACTAGCTGAAATTTTGTGAAGTCTGCGTAAATAACTCACACTAAATTTAACAGTATATACCTTTCCATTGACTAACCAATACTTATAATTTAAATTACAGCTAAAGTTAGGCCTAATGAAAGTTTTATTGTGGTAATATTCTCCCTCAGGCAAAGTTGACCTTACATGGATTTGGCTTTTCTTTTTAGGCCCCTTTCGGTCATATATATCTTAACTTTATAAATTTTATACATCCCTGGCTTTCAAATGTTTAGGTTAGAGATTTCCAGATGAAGGAATTAAAAAATAGTTGATGTGATTGGACAATTTACATTTTTAGTGGGTTTTTTTTTCTTTAATAAAGAGATTGCATAAAAAGAGAAATTGCATAAAATATATTCTGAAGACATAAGTCAGAATTATATGCATTGAATAATCTAAATAAACAAAATAAAATTTTAAACTTGTAAAAGATCAGTTAATCTACAACAAATGAAAGTTATATTTGAAATTATCAAGATAATTATGAAATGTAAACAAACTTCTTACAAGGCCATAACACATTTAAAATTATCTTCATTTCTTCATTTGGTTTAAAAAAAAATGTAAATACCTCAGAGTTCCCCATTTCAAGGGATGGATGGATTGATGTTTAACATCCAGTGGCAAATATGACACGAGTTAAAGGACAGGAACAATTTGTGGTGATATAAACATGAACCTTGCTTTGTACAACATACTATATACTTAGCAGATTTACATTAGACATTAGATCACTAAGTAACTGTAAGCAGGTAGACACATCAACCATGAAGCATTATTCCAACTCCTAGCCAACAAGTGTTTTGCTCATACTACTAAATGCTACGTAATTCTAAGAAATACTAATTTTTAAGTTTCAAGGAAGGTTACTAGTGGGCTTATCTGTATCAAGGAAACATATATTCAATTTGCCATTGAATTTCCTTATAAACAACTAAAAGGATTTCAGCAAAACTTATATATTTCCTGTTTACTGCACTGTTACTATAGTCTATTTCTATTTCATATTTTCATTCTTTATGAAGTATCTTCCATCTCTTGGGGGTCTTTTCATAATGATCATAGCATCTTTTGGGAAAATTGAATTAGATATCAGAATTTTTCGAAGAAAAAAAAAATTAAATTCATATCATATCAAGATAACATTTTAATTTATATTTATTTACATTTACTTTAATAAAACTTATTCTATTAAAACATT